GAATAGTCTTATCAATTCCCATCCCTAATTTATCCTAAACCTTATGATTTCCAGAATACTATCATTGTACATTATGCTACATATGAAAACCTTAAATAATGTAAAAATATCAAACACTATTTACCATCTGAACGTTTCATTTATATTTAACTATGTTTTGTATCTTGGTGACTGGCACGTCATATAGTCACACCATGCTTGTGTCTTAATGTTCTTACTAAAGTAAGACATTTCTTGATTGTATTCAACAAATACGTTATCATCCTGTTGTTCTGTGTTGTATTCATGTACTTTTTTAAAAGAAAGAAAAAAGGAAACAGCTATCAGATGGCTCCCATTGTTCACTTTAAGGACTTGTTCACGAACGACACATCAGTGCTTCACACGATGACGGTGCATAAGCAGCTGACTTCTTCTGTGCAGACAAACATAGAACATTAAGCATGAACAAAGCAAGATCATTCTCCTGCATGCACTGGCATGATATGTGCAGCAGTGTATGAGAGCACAGACATTGCTTTATGGGTTCGAGGTTTGATTCTCACCCTCAAGGATGAATACACACTGTGAAATCTACGAGTGTGTATCAAATGGGAGGTATCAGAATGAGAGGTTGATATCTCAGGAGACCATTTGATGTAGTCATGACACACATCTTTAACTGCATGTGACAACCAGAACTGAAACTGAGCTTAAAGAGTTCCTTTACTCAGAATACAACAAAGAAAATAAATTAAAAATCCTGACTACCCCTACTGGTATCCAGCTAGATTTCTGCCTTCATCTCAATACAGTGGAATGATGTGCTCACAACAATGAAACATTTGCAAAATTTAACAGCCACATCTCTCTCCAGAAATTTATCGGAACTAAAACTGTAAGTTGTAAAATCTTTGTCTTAACAGGATAGTTTGGGCTTTTTGAAATGGAGTGAATTTATGCAGGGGTGGCGTGAAGTATGTGTCTCAGCTTTCCCGTCTTTACCAATTTATGCCATTTTAATCCTGTTTTTGGACCCCAGTATGCAGACGTTTTTAAATTCACCATGTGAAATTCACATTTATACCACATGAAAAAAACGACATGTTTTTCCCAGCATAAAACAGCCACATCTTTAAAGGAGAGACTCATTTTCATTCATATATCTTGAGGTCAGAGGTCAAGGGAGCCTTTTAAAAATGACCATGACACTATTTCCATTGCCAAAACTTTGGAGCGTTATTTACCCCCCTTCCTGACATGCTAACACGATATAGTTGGTACCAATGGATGCTTAGCTTGTGCTAGCTAGCTTTAGAGCTTTAGAGATAAGGATAATGGGGTGGCCAATCAGATTTCTGGGGTGGCCAGTAGCACTCCAGACCCCTTCTCTGAACATGCACTTGTGGATGGGGGCTGCAGATTTTAGCAACAAAATATATATCAGTTTAGGTGTACAGTATTTTTAGAAAATGTTCATTGCCTTACCTTGCCGTCACACAGCTATTTCTGAAGCTGAAACTGAAGCCGTTATATCCGTCTATGCTTTCTCCAAAGCCATCTGATTAAACCAGATATAAAATATACAGTAAATGCTTCTTGTCGGAAAGGGCTGTCTAAAAGAAAGATAAAGCGGTGAAAATATTCTTTTTTTTTATTATTGGTGAAATTAAGTGACAGACAAGGTGACATGAGGGACAAATACATCACACCATGTGGACTACAAGTACAGACAGTGGACATACAGTACAGATAACAACAGAAAAAAACGTAAAGTTACAATGATATGTATATACGTAGTATAGGTGTGTGTGTGTGTGTGTGTGTGTGTGTGTGTGTGTGTGTGTGTGCGTGCATGTGGATGAGAGGCAGATGGTATGGTATTATATACACATAATATGGCATAGATAGATGATACAATAAAAATAAGTAAATAAAGTCAAAAGTATAAATATGAGAAGCGAAGGAAGAGGAAAGAAAAAGAGAAAAATAAATACATAAATAATAATAATCTGCAATACGATATGGCATACATTAACATAGTATAGTGCAATATCATTTAACCTAATATAATGTGACAAGATAATGTGAGATGAGATAAGATAATATAGGGCAATACAAGACATTATAATATAATATGCAATACGATTTAACCTAATATAGCGTGATGAGATAATGTCAGATATGATAATGTAATACTATAGTAATAATAATAATAGTTATAATAATAATAAAGGAAGAGCAAAAGAAAAACAGGAAGAGAGAGTATTTTAATTAAGGGAAATAAGAAACCAGGAGAAAAAGGAAAAAAAGAGATGTGTTTTGAGGTGTTAGGAATGTGTGCGGCACTGGTGCAAGTACAGGCCCATCAAGGAGAGGAATGGGGACCATCTTTCTGTGAAAGCTGTTATTTTGTTGTTATTGTAAGCAGTGATTTTTCCATAGAAATGTGTTCCAAGAGAAGATTGATCCAGTGATAAATGTTTATTGAGTTTTTTGATTTCCAATTTAGGAGAATTGTTTTCTTAGCGACAGTTAGAGAAATGAGCAAGCTGTTCTTGTGTTTGTTTGGTATGGTGAGTACTGAAGTGTCTCCTAGTAAGCAGAGCTGTGGGGATGAAGGGATTCTACAGTCCAGTATGGTGGAGAGGTTTTTTGTGACAGAGTTCCAAAAAGAGTCAACCGGTTGACAATCCCAGAGTGCGTGAAAGTAATTATCTGTTGTTGCTGTTGTGCATTGTGAGCAAATGTCTGTGGTCCCATTTTGTGCATTTTATATTGTGTGATATGTGTTCGGTGGATGGTTTTGTATTGGGTTAACTGAAGGTTTGTATTGGATGTCATGGCAAATATATTTTTAATTATATCTATCCAAAAGTCCGATGAAGGAGAGATGTTCAAATCAGCGTTCCAGTGTGCTATTGGGAGTGTTATTGAATCATCTGAAACTAATATTAGTCTGTATAGTTTGGAGGTTAGTTTATTTCAATTTGTAAATAGAATTATGTTGTCAATTATTTCAGAAGATTAAAGTCGGTTGTCATTTATGTTTATTTTTGATTTGAGTATGGATTTGAGTTGTGACTAATTTACAAATTGATGTCTATCAATCCCGTGGTTTTGTATGAGTTCCTTGAAATCTATAAACTGATTATTGTTAAAAAGATGGCGGAGATGTGTGATACCTCTTTGTGCCCATGTGTGATAGTGAAGAGAATTATTGTGGAGCTGAAAGTCAGGGTTGTGCCATATTGGCGTGTATTTACATGGTGCTGGAGTGGAATTGAAAATCTTGATGACTTTCCACCAGGCTGTCAGAGTTGTGGAGATTACTGTATTTTTGAAGCAGGGATGTTGTTTGATGGTTGTATTTAGGAAAGGTAGATCTGAAAGTAAGATGTTTTGGCAATAGTGCTGTTCTAAGTCTGACCATGAGGTATTGTGGTTGGTTTCGTGGATCCATTTTGCAATATATTGTGTTTGTTTTGCGTTAGTAAAAGTAAAAGTTTGGTGCATCCAGTACGCCTTGGGATTTGCTTTTTTGTAAAGTAGATAGTTTAAGTTTTGCTTTTTTATTTTTCCAGTGGAAATTAGTAATGATAGAGTCAATAGATTTGAACCAATTGTCTGTCGGTATGATGGGTAGCATTGAGAAAAAGTAATTGATGTGGGGGAGTAGTGAAAATATTCTTAATATAGGGTGCACCACCTCGTATACCTTATAACTTATACAACCCACTTCAAAATACCCAAACTGTCCCTTTAAGGGTAACATACAAACATTTTATAAAAGCTTTATAACATTCTACACAGCTATAAGGCAGTTTTTAACTGTTTTTACTATACAGTATTTGTGAGCAATTATAAATTCTCATATAAAGACATATTATTATTATATATATTATTGTTTCTTTGCAATGTTTTACTACATTGTCATTGATTATCTGTTGATACAGCCGCCTCCACAGGAGCAGTTGTTGAGAAATACTGTACATTAACATGTATTATTTATTATTTTTATTATTATTATTATTTGCTGATTATTAATGCTAAATAACTTACTTGACTTCAAGTAAAGCATTGGTGTATTAAGCATTATTTCCAGCTCCTGAAAAGTTGCAACACAACGCTGACTCAAATCCCCCACCCCCATGCCATCACATTCATATTGTCTACTATCCCATTTGCGCTCCACTCTGCCACACAGTGAAAAGAGGATAATGGGAGCCTTGATGTTTACCTGCACCATCAATCTCTGTCTCTTTCTAATCGCCTCTCTGAATGCTTGCACACTCAATGGACTCCAATTACAGGCGGCGTGGCTCTGCATGGCCTCCCCATAGGTTTGAAGAGGACAGCGTACTTCTGCCATTCTGGCCGGGCTACGCTGCACCTTCAAATGTTAATGGCTCATTCACAGCCATTAATGCGCACTAGCTGCATCAGCATGTCTGCCGGCTGCTTTCTACCTTTAAGTCTTCCCACTTATATGGTAATACAAAGGAGATGGCTATAGGCAGCCATTGATAATGAGGCAGTTTTTTTACCTCTGGCCCTTTGTGGTGGAAATAAGGGAATATTTTCACTCTAGACAAAGTGAAGGCCTTGTCTCTCTTTTTTCTCTTGACAGCAAAATGAAATGATTAAAATACAAATGAGAGATTATTAGTGTCACCCCCTTTTGCAGCTGATATTGTCAAGGAGGACTCATTGCTGAGCAGAAGTTCAGTCTTTTTTGTTTTCTGTTTCACAATGTACATTGTAAGTCATCAAGAATGGTTCAAATAGAACCCAGGAATCTTCTGGATCTGTGTACATTTGTGTGTTGTAAGGTTGGACCGATACATGGAGCCAATTCAGGATTTTTTTTCAAATAGAGATCTGCTGTCTATTCCTAGTCAGTTGAGTTTCAGTCCAAATAATTCCAGGATTGGATGAAAAACCTGTATCGGTCTAACCGTTCATTTTGTATGTCTCTCCCAGTCCTATAACTCCATGTTGATGTGTTTGTCATCACCCAGAGGAGGAGAAGCCTGTGGTGACCAACGTCACCATAAGCCAAGTATCATGGGACAGCTTCCTCCTGTCCTGGTCTGCAGAGGATGGGGCCTTCCAGGCCTTTTTGATTGAGGTTACTGACGCAGAGACAGGCATTGAGTGGCAAAACCACACAGTGCCCGCCGATGCTCGGAGCCTCGCAATCTCTGGCCTCTCCCCCACCACCTGGTACAGGGCCAATCTGTACGGGTTGTACAGGGGGACCTTCTTAGACCCTGTCTTTGCTGAGACCATCACAGGTATAAATCCCGTCAACGCTGGGGCTTCAGTCTTTCCTTTGCTTCCCTCTTCTTCTGCTTAACACAGTGAATTAACCAGTGTTTTTCTCTGTGTTTGTCTGATCTTTGAGCTCTGGTGGTGTTTTATTGACTCAAACATTGGTTTGTGTTTGTTTTTACACTTTTTTCCCCTACTACAATAAGCGCTGTTGATTTTCCCATGTCCTTCAAAAAAATCTTAAAATCTTAAAGGTTATACGAAATTTGCTAGATGTCGCAGTAGAACACCAGCATCTCAAACCCAAACACAGAAACAGATCACAGAAACATAATAAAACTGACCAAAACCATCTTTCTTAATCTTTCCACACCGTTTTCAACCTCAACCAATGCTGATTTGGGCAAAATAAACCCTCAGTTCATAGAGTTAGATGTTAAGATATTTGTAAAAAAAAAGGCTCCTTGGGGACAAATGCAGCCATCAAAGTACGTCCACAGAGATATGAACCTTTTGTTTAACCAGAAACAGCAGTAATATTGCTTCCCACCAGACTCCAGAGTTCAGTCTAGACCTACTCTATTTTGTAAAGTGTCCTGAGATAACTTCTGTTATGAATTGGCGCTATACAAATAAAATTGAACTGGTTGAATTGAATTGAATATACAAATACTGTAATTTTACCTTGCATATAATTGTTACTCTGTAGCTTCATTGAAATTCAATTCAATTCAATTCAATTTTATTTGTGAAAGTGGACAGAAACAAAATCCAACTCACCAAAAGCAGTCATGTTTGTTTTTCCAACAATCACTAACATGGGTTCAGTGGATATAAATCACTGACGTTGATGAGACAAACAGCAGTTTCAGTTTGCTGTTAATTGTTTGCAACATATTTATGTTTAATCTTTAAACTGCCTTTAATAGTCATTGACTTAGAAATAAGTTCAAGAATATTCTAGAAAAGGTGATCCAGCAAAAGTGCTATACCTGTAGGGGTGGAGGCTTATTTCATTCAACCCCATGAACATATTTTAAGGCAACAATTTTTATGAGCCGTTTCTGAGTTTACCTTCAGTGTTGAAAGTACATTTCAAAAAGGTGTATATAAGACAATCTACCTGCTTTCCACTGTGGCAGGAGTTATTCTTTACAGGGTAAACAAATTCTCCTTGTCATTCAGACGGCATGCACAATCCAAATTCCCAAACAACACCCCCCCAACAGTCATCCATCATGCACGTATCACTTCCTTTGATGCAGGGATTGTGAAATGGGCTAACACTGAGCCTCAGTACCCACACAAAACCCATTCAGTCTACATGAGCCACAGATCTCCTCTGGATCCACCTTTAAGCTGTCAGTCTGCCTATTGGTACGAGTCCAGCCTGAAACAGCACCTGGTCTGTTGTGTGAACAAGCAGAAACACATAAAAATGTCAATGTGCTGTTTAACTGGGCCAACAGGTGTGCCGGTTTGCCACCCACTACACCAATCACAGTCATTATCAGTGATTAACATGCTGTGAATTACAGTATGGGCCTAATAAGTGGGCTGTAAACTGTAAAACCAAAATCAGCTGTGATAGCTTGTAATGGCCCCTGAGCACTTTTACAAATGAAGCATAACCAAAACAAAATACCTTTTGAGGACTAACTTCCTCACTATCACATTTTAAACCCATTGTGACTGAACTAGAAGGTCAAAAATAACCAGTTTCGCGTCAGTTGACAATTTTTTAATGTCAGTAACTGTTCCGGCATTATCATTCAGAATTTCACTGATGAGGATCAGTCAAGTGGAAGAAAGATGGGAGGACTGACAGAGGACAAAAAAAAAAACCCTGAGGCGCTTTTGTCACTTTGTGTGAGGCCTCTCTTCTGTATGCATCCCCAGTTCTCCCAAGCCTGGACCGCTCTTCATTCTCATGCTGCCATTGCCCCTGGGCTCTGGTGCTAGGGTGCCAGGGGCTTCTGGGGCCACGCAGAATATGGCATGCACTCAACACGGGCCATTGTCTGCATGCTAATGGCTGGTGAAACCATCTTAACATTTTTCATTAGCATCGCTTAATCCATAAAACATTCCAACTTGTGAATACAAGTGCTGACTAATTTGATTATGTTATGCACGGTGGTCATCGTCGGCCTGCTGGAGAAAAGGGAGCTAGGAAACTTTGATTATGGGAGAGGGAGTTTTAAACAATAAATGATTGATAGAACCACAAAGAGATGTGGACAGCGCCCAGAACAAGCCTGACTCAGTTGTGATTCATATGACCACAAGCTGCTCTCACAAAGTTATCAGGCGAGACTGGAACCAGCTATGGGCTTCTGCTTGCAGACCCCCTTTTCAGCAGGTTAGCTGGCGCCGGCACGTACCTCCTTCAATAACAGGCTCCCCTTTGTGAGTGGGGATTGTGTTCCCTCAGGTCCTGGGGTTGTGGAGGGATACAGGGTATTGGGGTAGAAGTGGTGGTGGGGGGCTGGGGGGTGAAATCAGTAGCAAGCTTGCACATGTTAGCTGATGGATGTGGCCCTCCCTCTCTTCCACTGACCAGCTAAAGCTGCCCGGCGGCTAATGAAGAGTGACAGCTCCCTGGGATTTGTCTGCTCTGCTTCTCATTTCCACCGCTTCTTCTCACAACAAATGCCTCAATGCGTTTTCCCTCACAATAAAAATGGGGTTTCAGGCTAGTTCAAGGACCCCTGAGACCCTCACATTTGGTGTAGTGTTTTAATGAGCAGTGGTGCTGGGCTTTATTGAGGCTTTCCTGAGCCTACTTATATCTGATTCTATCCAGGCTGCTTTAAAAACTCTGTCTGGTCCGTGTATTCATCTGTGCTGCTACCGGAAGTTTCTCTGGCTAATTAGCTTCAGCGGACTCATCCTCTGGAGAAACAGAGCTTTTTCTACTGCAGCTGTAGATTCCTGCTGTCTCTCAGCCTCTCTTCCTATCAAAGTCATTATTAGCTGCTGCTAATGACTGCTTAACTACCAGCTCTTACAGCACCACATGCACACACTCCCATCTGTATGCATATAGTTTTAAGTCTGCACTCTGCTGTATTTGAGAACTATTCTGAGATAAGCAGTTATGTTGTTTGACAAAGCGTCTTTACTCTGACATCCATGGAATTGCACAAGAATGAGATAGGTCAGCTACCAGGCACTTTTAAAAAAAATTAAGTTTGAATGAATTTCAAGAATTATGTGATTTGTTCAATTTTGAACCATTTCAGGTGCAATCCAGCCTATAGTAAATTAAATACACAAGGCTTGGACACTTCAGCATGAAATAGCAAAATTTTGTTGTGCAAACAATTGATTCAAGTAGTTTTTCAGGAAATGACAAACAAAAATACCATTAAGAATACCTGAAAATACCTACAAATTTACTTTTGTTTCATTGTTGGCCCGGATACTGGAGTATAGGTGATATAAGACACTAGAAAACGTATTACTATTATGTAAACAGCCCATACAGAGAAAATAGAGAGAAGGTCAGAGAGCTACGGGCTGTGGCTCAGAGGAAAAGCGGGTCGTTCCTTAATTGGAAGGTTGTGGGTTCGATCCCCGGCTCCTGGTGCCACATGTCGAAGTATCCTTGACCAAGATACTGAATCCCAAATTGCTCCTGATGCCTTGCATCGGTGTGTGAATGTTAGTTTCTGCTCGATGGACTTTGCCATCGCTGAGTGAAAGGGTGAATGTGGCACATAGTGTAAAAGCACTTTTACCATTTACTCACCAGTGCTTGCCAGCTACAGTAGTACAGCTACAAGTTCTGTGAGTAAACTTTTTTTTTAAATGTTGCAGAATAATTTCAAGGTACCATTTTCTAGCCTCCATTTTTCCAAGCCTTAAAAGTTGTTATCTGTATTAATGCTTTCTCACATTATTTCTCAGATGGTTTGGTGTAATGATTATCCGTTAAGTACAGCTCACCAGTTTTCTTCATTTTGTGTTAGCGAAGAGAAAAACAATAGCGTAGTCTAGTGGGTATGCAGTGAGTAAGACAGACATAGAAACTGGGGTGCAAGCCATGGCCTGTAGCCCTTTACCAGGATTTTTTAAATTAAAACAGATCATTACAAATTGAATATTTAATGTTTCTCCCATGTTCCAACAGTAGTTTGAATTTTGAATAAAAAGTTGCTGCCCTCTGTCACACTAATGTGTTGTTTTACTAAGTCACAATCTTGACAAAATCAGTTTTTCATCATACTAAGCAGAGTGGTTCTGATAGGTCCAGTTAACCAATCCGAAAAAGAATGCAGCTGGATGCTTTTCTTTGGATCTACCCTCTGTTGCCTGAAGTTCATTTCTTCCTTCTGTGTTTTTCACCAGTTTGCAGTAAAACTCTTCTCTTTCCCCTCTGAAAACTCAACCTCTTTATTTGTTGACTGCTGGGCTTCCATATAACCAATGCTGGCATTTGCACAAAGACTGATACACTCTGTTTCTCAAATGTCAAAGCACTCTTAAGTCCCTCAGAGGAGGAGAACTGACTTTCCCCCTGTCACTCAGAGGCCGAACCAGAGGTGCAGGCTCTCCTGGTCTCCAGTGTCACCCCTGAGAGCTTTAGGCTGGCATGGATGACTGAAGAGGATGCCTTTGACACCTTTGTCATAATGGTCAGCCAGGAAGAGGGCCCAGGTCAACCAAGAGAGCTAGTGCTGGGTGGCGAGGAACGAAGCACAACCATCACAGATCTCATTGAGGACACTGAGTACAAAATCGAAATCTTTGGGCTCATTTTGGGAAGAAGCTCCAAGTCTGTAATGGAGGGGGTGAGAACAGGTACGCGGTGAAAGGATGGAAATGAGAAATCCCAGCAGTGAAGTGAATCTATGCACTGGTCTTGTCACGTAGTGAATGTGGAATGACATCTGTCTTTTATCGTAACAACGCAAAATCATTGTGATTAACACCAGTGATCTAACATTTATCTTTATATCACAGACCTTTTTGTCTACTAACCTGGTAACAAAGTATTTGTCCAATGCCTTGTGTCAGTGGCTATGTGAAACACTGAATATCCCAATTCAGTGTTTCAACCTGTCTGTCAGTGCACCTGAGTGGTTCCAGCAGATAGCAGCAGAGGGACTTTGAACACAACCCAGGTTTACAGCAATACACACACTCTAACATGGACCACATGGCAGCTTACAGGCTGCTGATCTCAGGGCTCCAGACTGCTGCTGGATCAGAATATATGGGTTTACTGATATCAAACTTCTACTAAAAAGTCTGATATGATGGATATGAAGCAACTATATCGATGCATTTTTATTGTAGTATTATCCTGGTTTAATGGAGAATTCCCACATAGCAAAATAGGTCTGGCCTGTACTCTCCAAATACAGCACTGAATTACAGTCCACATTTGGGCCAGATCTGGTGGCCAGATATTTGCAACAACTGACATAAATTCAACCAAATCCTTGTGAATTCTGTGCAACCCTGCAATTTTGTCCAATCACTGCAAATTTTCAGCAAATTTGACCAATTACTGAAGTTTTCCACGAGTTTCACCAAACTAGTAATCAAAAAGCTAGTAAATTTATTCTCACTGGAACAAGTTGCGGTTGATTAAAAATTATACCCCAAAAAATTGCAACTAAATTGCAATTTTCACAATTTCACTGCAGAAAACGCATGAAAACAGACAAGCTGCCATTAAATCAGGCATTATAACTATCCCAAGGGATTGTGTGTATTTGTGTAAAATAATATTAGTTTGGTTAAGGTTTAGTTGACTACTGGAACCAGTACTGAAACTTGTCTGCTCCAACGTAGGGCCAGAATAGAGCCAGCTATGGTCATACAGATGGCTGAGTTAAGAGCCATAAGCGGCTACCAGATCTGACCCACATGTGGACCATAATGCATTACTGTATTTGAGTATAAGTGAGTTGAGTAGGCCAGACAAATTTGTGGGAAATGTAGTCTCCCCAGCTTCAACCCAAAACTATCAGAAAAGCCTTAAAAACTCATATCAGTCGATCCCCACTAAGGACATTTCCTCTGCTTTTTACTGTGTTCCTTTCATTGTGTCGTCTCTGGCCGGTTGTCCTCCCAAATTTTGTCTTTGACTGCCTGGCCCCATGTGACAGAGTCGCTCTTTGTAAAGTGTGTGTGTGTGTGTGTGGGGGGGGGGGGGCAGTTATCTGTGTCACATAGAACGGGTGGCGGTGTCCCTGTCCTCCCTGGGGCTAAGGCTTTACTCTTGGGTTGCGTGGCGCATGTTTCACTTTTGTTTTGCCATGAAATGGGGGCAAGTTAATCTCCTCAGGTCTGTCACGCAAGATACTGTGGCTCGCTGTTAGCTGGGAAGGGTCTTTCCACAAGCCCGGGCCTCCCCAGGCCCCCTTTGTCTGTCTACCTCGCTCTTTCTTGCTCTCTTTTGCTGTAAAACGTGTGCCTTTCAGTGGTGGATCTACTCTGCCTATATGTGGGTGTATTTTCCAGTCTGCTGCTTGAATTTAAGGCAGAAAATACTCACTATTTGTCAATTTTGTGCATTTATTGATGTTCAGTGTCCAGTCCTAAAAAGGCAGTACACATATTGACTAAACCGTTTTTTTGTCTGTTTTTGCCCCCACCTGCTGTTTCTGTCTTGTTTGTGCCAGACCTGGGCTCACCCAAGGGCATCCGCTTCTCTGATGTCACCGACACATCGGCCACCGTTCACTGGGTGGTTCCAAGAGCTCGGGTGGACAGCTACAGGGTCACTTATGTGCCCGCTCATGGAGGTCAGTGTCCTCATGTATGACACTCTTCACTACTGAAACAGGGAAGATCTGGCCACTTATTGCTACGCTGTCACTTGATTCAAGAAAAGGTTGAACTGGAAAAGAAATGTATCCCCCCAATAAGCTTTAATAGTTTTACCATCAACTACATACCCGTTGACATCAAGAAAAAGACATTTTAACATGTAATTCTTAGACTTCTTCCAATAAGCTGATTTTGAAATCAGTAGGTGAATATTCCCTCTCACTGCTCTATCATCACTGACCTACCGATGAGTTTCTTCCTCATCATCTGCAGAGCAAACTTTTCTCTCCAATGATAGAGTGATTCTGCCCTCTAGTGACCGCACAGGTTTTTCTTCTGAATAAGGGACCATGAGGAGAAAATCATGCAAAATAACAAACATGACTAAACACATCAGTGCTGGTGTATTGACAAGTTATAATAATCTTGGGTTGAAAATGCTTCAACATGCCTTCTATTGTTTTAAATTACCCTAAACATTGCAAGGCCAATGCTGATATAGAGTCAACCATTTGAGGTTACTTTATATAATGATATATGACAAATGACACATTGTAGGCTTATTTATGTGTATTAGTAACACAAATATGGAAAAACCATTCATGGTAAAAATCCATTGGAATCTTTAAAACATTTAGCACAATTTTACACAAAAATCTAGATTTAGGTTTAGGTTATACTGTGAACTCTGAGAGAATTATCTAAATGCTCTTTTTGACATGTGCTGTGATGACTCTCAGGTAATGATAAGACACTGGCAGTGGACGGCTCTGTGTCTCAGACTGTACTGCCCAACCTGACCCCCGGGGTCACCTATGAGGTCACTGTTGTCTCTGTCAAGGGTCAAAGGGAGAGTGAGCCGGGATCAGACAGCATCACCACAGGTAAGACTACGGACACTACAACACACACACATTCTTAAATTATATTAAGGCCAGTTATAAAACTGTATATTGTGCCTGGATTCAGCAGGTTGTTGACACTGTTATAACTTGCTTCGCATTGATAAGCCAAAACAGCTAATGGAAAAAAATATATGTATGGTGGTAAAAAGTACAAAAGCAAAGCTAACTAAAATGAATCTGTGACAATGTTTTCTGTTTAACACTTTTACAGTCATTTGTGTTCATGGTGGAGATGCTTCCTTCCAACACAATAGCTCTGTCCATAGTATGGTCAACTCACTCTGACTGTGTGTGTGTGTGTGTGTGTGTGTGTGTGTGTGTGTGTGTGTGTTACAGCTTTGGATAAGCCCCGTGGTCTGACTGCAGTCAACATCACAGACACTGAAGCTCTGCTGCTCTGGCAGCCCGCCATAGCCACCGTAGATGGCTACGTCATCACCTACAGTGCAGACTCAGGTATCTAGTATATATCCATAAATTCAATTTTATTTGTATAGCGCCAATTCATAACAGAAGTTATCTCAGGACACTTTTCAAATAGAGCAGGTCTAGACCGAACTCTTTATAACATTAATTTACAGAGACCCAACAGTACCACCATGAGCAAGACCTTGGTGACAAGGGCAAGGAAAAACTGCCTGTTAAAAGGCAGAAACCTAGGACAGATCCTCCGGCTCTAGGTGGGTGGTCGTCTGTCTCGACCAGTTGGGGTGAGAGAGAGAGAGAGAGAGAGAGAGAGAGAGAGAGAGAGAGAGAGAGAGAGAGAGAGAGAGAGACTGTTGTAGCTGGCTTCTCTAAATTCCCGTTTCTAATGGTGCTATCCATATCCTATAGAGCTGCCAATAACCAGAGTTGGTTTCTCAGCGGGTGTGTCGCTTAGTGCGGAAAATCTATTGTTAACATGAACCTGTTGGTGGTGACTCGAGGGCTTCTGCGGTTTGGACCCAGCCTCCCTGGCCTCCCGGCTGCTCGGGAACTACCGGGGAAAGGCTAACAGAAGGTACCGTGGGTTGGCTTGCACCGACTAGCGGGGACTGGCTAGCTATTTCGGGTAAAGATGACTTTGTGGTGCGGTACCGTGCCTCTAGATCACTGAGCCTCGCCTCCAGAGCAGTAAATAAACTACATTTAATACAGGTACCATTATCATTAAAGGAGGCAGAGGAATAACTGAACATCTGACACACTGAGCAGGACAGAGGAGAGGGAGAGGGAGAAGCCATCGTTGAGTGTTAAATGCTAATGAAGCTAGCGTGTGTGAAAACTTTGTAATTTGTTAGCGAAACGTCGCTAAAAGAAGGAATTGGCTCCGACTGTTTAGGTAGAACTAGTCTACGTTTAAATGATAAGCGGGTAAATAACCGCTGTAACGAGTAAAACTATTTTTTCGCGTTCACTTGACAGAGCTAACGTTACAGCAGTAACCACTGCACACAGGAGCAGGAAGTAAACCGGAAATGAGTCAGTACGCTTACCGTTGTACGTCAGCACAAAATGTGAAAAAAACTTCCAGTGCCGCAAATTGACCATCCCTGTGTCCGTCTGTTCTCCAGTAATAGTTGAACAAGCCTTGGTCAGAACCTCGGGCAACTTCACATGCATGTACACACATTCTATATATAACGTTATATAGTGTCACCATGATGTTTTGTTGAGTCAGCAGTTGAGCTGCTCTCACTTGCTGTGTAGTTTCGACTCATCTGTAGCAGGAAACAATCTCATATTGCAGCTAAACAGTACACTAAAATGCTAAAATATGTTTGTGGAAAGATTTTACTATTAGATGTTGCTACTGTTGTTGCTGTGCACGCCGGTCTGTCTGTTTGCCTCTCTGTCTCTCTCTCTCACCCCAACTGGTCGCCAAGGTCTTGCTCATGGTGGTACTGTTGGGTCTCTGTAATTAATGTTTTAAAGAGTTCGGTCTAGACCTGCTCTATTGAAAAAGTGTCCTGAGATAACTTCTGTTATGAATTGGCGCTATACAAATAAAATTGAATTGAATTGAATTAGGAGAGAAATAGTCCACGCAGTAACCAAATCTTGATTCATGTTTTATCAGCACTGTCTAGTTTGACAGTTTGATCTGAGTTTGGTGCGTTGAGCTGGACGGAGTCACTGAGAATAACTTGTCAATCACAAGGTAGCCACGACCTGCATTATAGTCTATTTTACTCTAAATGGGACCATAATTTATTAAATGAACATCATGCTGTATGCTGAAGACTTTAAACTAGAGATTGAGATCATAAACTCATTAGGAAAATGTTTACTGAGCTAATAAATCAAGTGAGAAGTCAGCTAATTTCTCCATAAGGCTCAATACTATCTGACTTTTTCTTTTTGCAACCCATGCACAGACTTACAGACATGGAAGCTCTGTCCACCATGTCAATGGAATAAACATATACTGTATTGAACAATTTTGAAAAAATGATTTTACTTCACAACAGTTGTTCCTTCACCGTCCATTGTTGAACCATAATAGAGATGCTGCAAACTGATGGTCATTAAATAATCATCACTGCCTTTCAATGAAGAACTAGTGAGAGTTGCCTCTTGGTGCAAAGAATTAGTTCAGATGTGGAATAATTTTCTTGAGGGAAGGGGGGAATTTAGCTCATATCTGAGTGAGACAACATGACTTATATTCCAATATTCAGTTTTAAATAAAATAGCCATATTTGTCCAAACCAAGTTTGCTTCCTCTCACACTGTCAGCCTCTTATCCTGCATGTTTGCTCTAGATGTGCTAACTGACATTTGTGTCCTTCCAGTGGCTCCAGTGATGGAACGTGTGTCGGGTAACGTGGTGGAGTTTGAGATGAGCTCTCTGACGCCAGCAACACATTACACTGTGAAGGTCTATGCTGTGAGGGACTTGGCCAAGAGTGCAGCAACTACAACCGAGTTTACAACTGGTGAGCATTTCTTCCTAAGGGTCTATCTGTTTCTTTCCTGATTGTTAACTGATTCAAACCTAATCATAGTGGCCATTTGCCAAGTACAGTTAAGGTTATAACATTTCCACATTAAAGCTGTCTATAAACTCTTGAGCTATGTTCTATATGTAGTTGAGTTTTGTACTTCTATTATCCCAAATGTTTCCAGCAATGTTCAAACTTAGAGAAATTAGTCATTTTATTCAGGTAACGCTGCATTTCACCGGTCGCCTGTCGATGGCGTCATATCCCCTTTGTGCCTGCGTCAGTGTTGTGGTTGTCTGCCAGAAGCTGTCATACATTGACTGTTTATCCAGTCTGAAGCCACATTGTTACCATCCACTGTTTAGATCTTGGTGCTTTTTAACTCTAGATTTGAACCAGATGAAGGATTTTAGTCATCGGACGTCTGGATCTTAAATTATTAGAGAAACAATAATGTTAGCAGCCGCTCGGGTCGCAGCCCCTCCGGGAAGTCCTCTGTCTGCCCAACAGCGTGGGAGAAACAGTGATTTTTAAGGTAGAACTGCTTTATTCATTGTTTTTAGCAGTTTTAACCAGTGGGTCCAGTTGTTTTGGAGAGGAGGAGACCTCTGTGGATCATTGGGCTCCCGGTAGAAACCTCCTGAACGATGAACACTGAAAGAATCCTAACCGGGAGAAGCTGACTGCAATGACTCCCAGGATCCCACGCTAAATCTTGTCTTTTGTTATTGTTTTGATGTTACAGGATTACTGCACTGATGTAGAAATGCGTAATTGAAAGATAAGTTAAAACATAAATTACATCACAAAAAGGGACAAAGAGCAGAATATGGACTTGTGTGAAATGTGTTCTTAGATGTGGACGCCCCTCAGGACCTAGCGGCGAGTAATATCCAGACGGAGAGCGGCATGCTGACCTGGAAGCCGCCTCGTGCTTACATCACCGGGTACATCCTCAGTTTCGAGTCTGCTGACGGCACTGTGCGGGTGAGTGCACACCAGAGTGCCATAGATACTGATCTAACCGGTCAGTAATGCATTAAATCTATAAAACTGTGTTCAGGAATAAAATGTTTGAACATTCTTCCTCTTTCAGGAGGTGGTCCTGAGTCCTACTGCTGTATCCTATAACATGGCTCAGCTCAGCACCTCCACAGAGTATTCAGTCAGGCTGCAGGCAATTGCTGGTCCTAAGAGAAGCCGAGTCATCACTACTATCTTCACCACCAGTGAGTGAACTCATATACAGACTGTCTGTTGCAAGATATCTCAAGAAGTATCAAACAGCTTTTAATAGGTGTTTTTTTTATACTATTAATAATGCAGTTAGGGGCATTTCTCATTTACCTGAGTTTGGTACACTGTAAAACCTGATAACTTTCAATTAAAATTGTTGAAACTAGTCTTCCAACCACTACTACGTGCCACATTCACCCTTTCACACAGTAAGGGCAAAGTCCATCAAACAGAAACTAACATTCATACACATTCACACACCGATGCATGGCATCAGGAGCAATTTGGGCTTCAGTATCTTGCTCAAGGATACTTCGACGTGTGGCACCAGGAGCCGGGGATCGAACCCACAACCCTCCGATTAAGGAACGACCCGCTCTGCCTCTGAGCCACAGCCGCCCCTCAATTGAAAATTTTAAGACACTAACACAATTTTGTAAGTTAAAAACATTCTTGATTAAGCAGCTTTGACTAGAATTTATAAGTGACACTGACTTCTTTTTAAAAAATGTATTTGTACTATGAAAACATAAAACCAAGTAAAAAATACTTAATCAGTAATGTTTCTGTAACTTACAAACTAGCGAAAAACTAGTAACTAGTAAAGCTAGTGTCACTTAAAAATTCTAGAAAAAGCTGCTTAATCAAGAATGGTTTTAACTTACAAAACTAAGTAGTGTTACTTAATTTGTTTTACATAATCACGTAATTCAACAACTATAATATAATACGATAATCATATTACAGTGTATTTTTGTAACTCTGCTCACTTTTTTTACTGATGCGATGGTAAGGGATATACTTTGATGTTTTCTGATCAGAAGTTAATGATATTGTGCTGCTGCTAAAGTGATTTAGTGATGCGTCACCATCACGCATAACTCATACATTAATACAAGAGGGCGCCACGGACAGTCACCCCTGTACTGTCCTAGCCAGGAAACGGGCAGGAAACACCACAAATACTATCATTGTAATACATCTACCCATGCTGTGCATACTGTAATATCCACCTACCTCATGTACATAAAGAAACCTGCACGTAAAGATTTATTTCAGCCTCCTTTGTACTCTGCACCATTGCACTATTGTCTAGTGTCTACAAATGTTATTGTTTTTTGTTTGTTTATATATATGTGTACCTGTACATATTAGTCTATGTCTATTTTGTTGATCTTGTTGTCCTGTTATATATGCTAAGTCTGTGTTAGTACAATCCATGATGATGAAGATGTACAAAAATAAATATCAAAATAGCATTTAGTATTCCTTCCAGGAAGCAGCGATCACAACAATCAATGAAAATTCAACCAATCTCTGGGAATTCTGTGTGGCCTTGAACTTTTCTGCAAATTCAACCAATTCAACCAATAATTGTATCCAGTTCAAAACTTTCTTGTTTCTAGTGTTGAAGATGCAGACATGTGCAACACCAACATCTCACATTTACCCTACAAACTGTTGATTTTATTCTGGAACAAGTTCCCTTCGATTTTAAATTAATTAAAATACAAAGGGAACTATTTTTGCAATCTTCACTTTGTCCCACAATTTCATCACAAAAAAACCCTAAAAACATTGCAACATGCCTCACAATTTTCTAGGAAGACTGCCATGAAATCAGGCATTTTAGGCTGCAACAATTCCAACAAAATGCTAAATCCTGGAGGGACATTGCTATTATTATGATACTGTCAATATTTTAGAGACCAAGTTTCACAAAATGTTTTTAGGGGAGCTCACCTGTAGTTCGCACCCTGCCTGTGTTATCCTTGTGACTGACTGGTGACCCCCAACTCATCAATAAATGCTTGCGCACTTTATGCGTTACACCTAGATTCACAAAAAGAGTCAGCTTAGACTAGACACTCACATTAGCAATACAGTCCCATCCACTATCCCTTGTTACAGAGTCCACTTTGTTAATTGTTCAATCATATCATCTATTTTTTGTGTGTAGCTGGCGTGCTGTACAGATACCCCAGGGACTGCTCACAGGCCCTGCTAAATGGTGAAACCGCATCAGACCTGTATACCATCTATCTGGGTGGAGATGAGAGCCAGCCAGTCCAGGTCTACTGTGACATGAGCACCGATGGAGGTGGATGGATCGTAAGTCACACACTGTATATGCTCAACATGTGTTCATATTTAAAGCAGCACTAACTGATTTTTGTATTGTGTATTATAGAAGCGACTGGCTGGCTATATATTATTATTTTCTTTGACATTAACTATTATGAAAAAATATTATTATTGATTTAATTATACATTATTTAATCAGTATCAGCCTACATGAGTCTAATTTTTTTTACCTCACATTCTTCATCACCTGTGATGTGAAAACATAAAGTCTGCGCATCCTGCTCATGGTTGAGTTATAAAATCCCAGCTCACCACAAAGCATCCCTCCTGCTGGCTAGGCAGCTTGGAGTTGCACTGCCCTCCATTTCTATCACAGTTATAGTCTTGTGGTTTGTGGTCACTTAGGTTGTACTGATATCAGTGCAAAAAACAGTCATCATTACGGATTACCCATTCCTTCTCCTGCAGGAGAACGTCTCATCTAGGCCAAATAGATTCATTTTTGTAACCGTGGAAGAAACTGAAAGATGGAAACATTCAACAGCTGAAAAACTTGTAGTGAAACTAATTACTGTTGGCAGGGAGTAATAAGTCAAGTAATAATATCACTTTTGAAAAGAGTAATGAGTAATAAATTACATTGTTTGAGTAACTAGCCCAACTCTGCCTATAATACTGTGGAAAAACAAGTACTGTCATGTTTTCTGAATTGGCATTGTAGTATGGGTTCTTGTGACATCCCTACTGTCTCACCTTTGGAGGCACCCCTGTGCCCTGCACCAAAATGACAGACAGACAAAGTTAGCAACTAGCTACTAAACACAATACATCATTTAGCAAGAGATAGATATATTTCTCAGGGGTTGGTGGACTTTTGTTGGATGACCAGAAACACAACTTTAAATGAATGAAACTGTTGCTCTGTCTCTGCTGGAGGTATTAATAGGTCTCCATAATAACTTCATATGGTAATAATATGTCAATGTTTTGTTCACAGCTTGTACCCAAACGGACAGAAAAAATAAATGAATGCAGCTTTAATGTCAGTTAAGAATACCTTCCCAGAGAGTTGATTGTGATTAATTTATTTGGAGATGTTTGCGTCCATTCTTTGCCTCAGTTCAGTTTCGACAAAACAAGAAATATCCAGGATATTTTCAAGATTCTTTTTTAAAATCTGTTTTTTTCTTTGGGAAAACCCATATATGGGTTTCATGGGAACATCTAGACAGTAAAACTTCTCATTATTATTGACTTTCTCTGTGCAGGTTTTCCTCCGACGCCAGAGTGGCAGACTTGAGTTTTTCCGCAACTGGAAGAATTACACAGCCGGCTTCGGTGACATGAATGATGAATTCTGGCTGGGTAATTTCTTGAAACATCAGAGCACAACACAGCATTCCACAACACATAGAGAGCTGCTCATATATCAATATGCGCCGCTAGTAATGAAGGTGATTTATACACAACGAAGAGCATCTGGTGTTTTCACTGTCATCCAGTGCTTTTGTGTGATTATATATCTGATGCAAAATCTTTTAACTCAGACACGGTTTTGATTGGAAAAATATTCTACATTGATTCATTTTATAATAAGGTATCAGCCTTCAAATATGATTTAGTCTTATTAATCATATATATTTTTTACTTATATAACACATTATAATATCTTATTAAAGCCATCACTGAGTCGTAATTATTGCAGTCCAGCTCATATATATAATCTCTGTCACTCAGGTCTTTCCAACCTGCATAAGATCACAGCCGGAGGTCAGTACGAGCTGCGAGTCGACCTGAGAGATAAGGGAGAAACAGCCTACGCTCAGTACGACAAGTTCTCTGTCTCTGATCCCCGGACCCGCTACAAGGTCCACGTAGGAGGATACAGTGGAACAGCAGGTAAAGCTGACTTCTGTAGCCTGCAGCCCAACATGTACACAATGGTTCAGTTTGTCTCTCAGTACTGTCTTGACTTCCCTATTCTGTCAGTGGCATTCAAAAACCCAAGTGTTCCTACTGAAATCTCTTAAAAACAGCTCACAGATATTTTGTTTCATATATATTAACAGCAGGAAATAGGGCATTTGTTGGGGAGTATTTTCGGCTGCACATTTGGTGCTGTAGTGGGTATTTTTGGGCAGCAGGACTGTGTAAATTGGATTGAGTCAAACGGAACTATAGTGTTTGTGTTCATTGTAATGAAGGAACATGTCACCCAGTGCAACAGTGTGGCTCACTGATGTGTTTTTATTAGTTTTTTGACAACAATAGAGATTTATGGGTAAGAGGAAGAAGATATACAAGGCTTTGGATACATACACACAATAGGAAAATAAGAAAAATAGAAATGAATAAGAAAATACAGAATGTCAGCAGCCTTTAAAGATCCCCTCCAGACACATATTATTAAATAACGTGTGTGTGATATGTTTAAAAAAAAAGTATAATTTCCACATTGAAATCCTTAAAAAATAATCTACTCCTTCTACCTTATTAAAGATACCATGAATATGCAAATGTTCATACTGGACCAGGACTGAACAATAATATACACATATAACACTGTTTATGTAAGGGGTACAAACATTAAAGCAGCAGTAGGTGACTTTATAAAAATAACTTTTTCAATTCAATTTTATTCAATTCAATTTTATTTGTATAGCGCCAATTCATAACAGAAGTTATCTCAGGACACTTTTCAAATAGAGCAGGTCTAGACCGAACTCTTTAACATTAATTACAGAGACCCAACAGTACCACCATGAGCAAGCACTTGGCGACAAGGGCAAGGAAAAACTGCCTGTTAAAAGGCAGAAACCTAGGACAGATCCTCCGGCTCTAGGTGGGTGGTCGTCTGTCTCGACCAGTTGGGGTGAGAGAGAGAGAGAGAGAGAGAGAGAGAGAGAGAGAGAGAGAGAGAGAGACAGACAGACAGGTGCACAGCAACAACAGTATTGGCAATGGCAGTCAAGCAGGACCATGGCAGGAGGCTCCACCAGGATCCATGAGAACCTGCGAGACGAGAAAGCACAAGAACTCCGGGGAAGAAGTGGAGTTAGTAACATGCATTAAAGGGACATGAATGAGTGCAGAAAGAGAGAGGAAGAGAGTAGCTCAGTGCACCATGGGAAATCCCCGATAGTGTAGGCCTATAGCAGCATAACTAAGGGATGGTTCAGGACTCACCTGATCCAGCCCTAACTATAAGCTTTATCAAAGAGGAATGTCTTAAGCCTACTCTTGAAAGTGGTGAGGGTGTCTGCCTCCCGAACCACAACTGGAAGCCGGTTCCACAGGAGAGGAGCTTGGTAACTGAAGGCTCTGGCTCCTGTTCTACTTTTTAGAGACTATAGGAACCACAAGTAGCCCAGCATTCAGAGAACGTAGTGTTCTAGTGGGGTAATAGGGTACTATGAGCTCTTTAAGATATGAAGGGGCCTGACCATGAAGAGCTTTATAGGTGAGGAGGAGTATTTTAAATTCAATTCTACATTTTATAGGGAGCCAATGCAGAGTAGCTAGTACAGGAGAGATGTGATCTCTTTTTCTAGTTCCTGTCAGTACTCGTGCTGCAGCGTTCTGAATTAATTGGAGCGTTTTAATGGACTTATTGGGGCAACCTGATAATAAAGAGTTGCAGTAATCCAGCCTTGAAGTAACAAATGCATGGATTAGTTTTTCTGCATCTGTCTGTGATAGTATGTGTCTAATTTTTCTAATATTACGTAAATGAAAGAAGGCAGTCCTAGAGGTCTGCTTTATGTGGGAGTTAAATGACAAATCCTGATCAAAGAGAACTCCAAGATTCCTGACAGTGGTGCTAGAGGCCAAGTTAATGCCATCTAGAGTGACTATATCTTTAGACAATGAGTCTCTAAGGTTTTTGGGGCCAAGAACAAGAATTTCGGTTTTTTCTGAGTTTAACATCAGAAAATTGCAGGTCATCCAGGATTTTATGTCCTTAAGACATGTTTGTAATTTAGATAATTGATTAATTTCATTGGGTTTGATTGATAGATATAACTGCGTATCATCTGCATAACAGTGAAAGTTAATGGAGTGATTCCTAATAATGTTGCCTAAAGGGAGCATATATAAAGTAAATAGTATTGGTCCAAGTACAGAACCTTGTGGAACTCCATGACTAACTTTAGTATTTATGGAGGATTCATCGTTAACATGTACAAACTGAGTACGATCTGATAAGTATGACTTAAACCAGGTTAGGGCAGTTCCTTTAATGCCAATTTGATGCTCAAGTCTCTGTAAAAGAATATCATGGTCAATGGTGTCAAATGCAGCACTAAGATCTAATAATACAAGTACAGAGACAAGTCCATTGTCAGAAGCAGTCAGAAGGTCATTATTAACTTTAACCAGAGCTGTCTCTGTGCTATGATGAACTCTAAATCCTGACTGAAAATCCTCAAATAAACTATTGTTATGTAGAAAGTCACACAACTCTTTGGCGACTACTTTCTCCAGAATCTTAGAGAGGAACGGGAGGTTAGAAATCGGTCTATAGTTGGCTAAAACCCCTGGGTCAAGAGTAGACTTTTTAAGAAGGGGTTTAATTACAGCTACTTTAAAGGACTGTGGTACATATCCTGATAATAAAGAAAGATTAATCATATCCAGTAAAGAAGTGCCAATTAAGGGAACAACTTCTTTAAGCAGCCTAGTTGGGATCGGGTCTAACAGACAGGTTGATGGCTTCGATGAAGAAATGATTGAAGTTAACTGATGAAGATCGATAGCAGAAAAACAGTCTAAATATACATCTAAGTTTACATTGACAGAAGTCCCTGAACTTGGAGAGCCACTGATAACTGTTGATGGCAGTTGGTGATTAATTTTTTCTCTAATAGTAATAATTTTATTATAGAAGAAGCTCATGAAGTCATTGCTACTTAAGTTTATGGGGATATGTGGCTCAATAGAGCTGTGACTCTCTGTCAGCCTGGCTACAGTGCTGAAGAGGAACCTAGGGTTGTTCTTATTTTCTTCTATTAGTGCTGAGTAATAGGCTCCTCTGGCATTACGGAGGGCCTTTCTATAAATCTTAAGATCATCTTGCCAATTTGAGCGATATTCTGATAATTTGGAAGAGCGCCATTTCCTTTCAGATTTCCTAGCTATTTGCTTTAACTGGCGGGTTTGGTGGTTATACCAAGGTGCTAGTCTCCTATGTTTTAATAATTTCCTTTTATAGGAGCGATAGAGTCTAATGTTGATCGTAGTGAGCCTGTAGCACTATCGACAAGATTATCAATTTCAGAGGGACTAAAGTTGTTATAGGACTCTGTTAAATTCAGACATGGCATTGAATTAAACACTGAAGGAATCTCCTCCTTAAATTTAGCTACAGCACTGTCAGATAAACATCTGCTGTAGGAAGTTTTGCCTAATGGCTTATAATCTAATAGTATGAATTCAAAAGTTACTAAATAATGGTCAGATAGGAAAGGATTATGTGGGAAGACTATTAAATGTTCAATATCAATGCCATATGATAAAACAAGGTCAAGAGTGTGATTAAAACAATGAGTTGGTTTTATTTACACTCTGACAGAAGCCAATTGAGTCTATTAATGATATAAATGCATTACTAAGGCTGTCATTGTCAACATCCACATGAATATTAAAATCACCTACAATAATTACTTTATCTGATTTAAGGACTAAACTTGATAGAAACTCTGAGAATTCAGATATAAAGTCAGAGTACGGTCCAGGAGCGTGGTACACTATAACAAACAGAACTGGCTGCAGTGTTTTCCAGTTTGGGTGAGAAAGACTAAGAACAAGGCTTTCAAATGAATTATAATTTAGTTTAGGTTTAGGGTCCATTAAAACGCTCGAATCATATATAGCTGCTACTCCACCTCCTCGGCCTGTGCCTCGAGGAATGTGAGTATTAATATGACTGGGGGGTGGATTCATTTAGGCTAACATACTCCTCGTGGGACAACCAGGTCTCAGTAAGACAAAGTAAATCAATATCATAATCTGATATTAATTCATTCACTAGAACAGCTTTAGAGGACAGAGACCTGATATTTAACAGGCCACATTTCATTCTCTTATTTTGTGCTACTGAGGAGTTGGTTTTAATTTTTATTACATTTTTATGTTGAACTCCTCTTGTTTTTATTTCTTTAAATAGTTTAGGTGGTCGGGGACAGACACAGTCTCTATGGGGTTTTGGGTGGGTGACTGTTCTAAAGAAAGCGCAGAGGAGTGTGTAAGACAGCAGCTCTGCTTCCTGGTCCCAACTCTGGACTGTCAGGTTTTAGAAATAAACTTCGCCATATTTCTAGATAAGAGAGCCGCTCCATCCAAAGTGGGATGGATGCCGTCTCTCCTAATCAGACCAGGTTTTCCCCAAAAAGGCTTCCAGTTATCAATGAAGCCCACATCGTTTGCTGGACACCACCTCGACAGCCAGCGGTGGAATGACGACATGCGGCTATACATGTCATCACTGGTCACATTGGGGAGGGGTCCAGAGAAAACTACGGTGTCCGACATTGTCTTAGCATAGTTACACACCGACTCCACATTAATCTTAGTGACCTCCGATTGGCGTAAACGGGTGTCGTTACCGCCGACGTGGATAACAATCTTACTGTATTTACGTTTATCTTTAGCCAGCAGTTTTAAATTTGATTCAATGTCGCCCGCTCTGGCCCCAGGGATACATTTAACTATGGCCGCTGGCTTCGCTAACTTCACGTTTCTGACTATGGAGCTGCCAATAACCAGAGTTGGTTCCTCAGCGGGTGTATCGCTGAGAGGGGAAAATGTATTAGAAACGTGAAGCGGTTGGTGGTGACCTGTGGGCTTCGCCGTTCTAGTCTTCCTTCGCTCAGTCACCCAGCCTCCCTGTCTTCCCGGCTGCTCGGGAACTACCGGGGGAACTACCGGAGGAACTACCGGGGGATCTACAGAGCTAACAGAAGCTACCTTCGGTCGGACCGCACCGGCTACCGGGGGCTGGCTAACTATAGCGGCTAAAGATATCTCCGTGGTGCGGTGCCGTTCCTCTAACTGACTAAGCCTCGCCTCCAGCGCAGTAAATAAACTACATTTAATACAGGTACCATTATCTTTAAAGGAGGCAGAGGAATAACTGAACATCTGACACACTGAGCAAGACAGAGGAGAGGGAGAGGGAGAAGCCATAGCTAACTGCTAATGCTAATGAAACTAGAGTGTATGAAAAACTTTGAAAGTAGTGAAAAGTCCCTAAAAGAGGGAGAAACTCCAAGTGTTTAAGTAGAACTAGTCTACGTTTAAATGTTAAGCGGGTAAATAACCGCTGTAACGAGTAAAACTAATTTATATTTAGCGTTCACTGACAGAGCTACAGCACCAAACAGTGTACACAGAGCAGGAAGTAAACCGGAAGTGAGTCAGTACGCTTACCGTAGCACGTCCAATCCACCAGCCACTTTTTGTCATATTTGCTAAAACTTTCACTATATCCTGACAGTAGAACATGAGACAGATAATCTGTGAAACAATCAGGTTCCTCTGGCTCCTCCTAGTGCTCCTAATGGCATTTGCGAGAATTCACCGCGACTGAATGAACACAACCAATATCATTGTTTTGAAGCTGTAGGTTGTGTCCAATTATTATATTATTTGTATTAATTAGGGGAAGACTTGGCCTGATATGCTTTTTACTTTTATGATTTTTTTCATTATTCATTGACAGTTTTCTTTCTCATTTTATCATTAAATAAAAAATTTAATTAATGGTTAACAGAAACTGTACCACCCTTCATTTAGTCGACTCCCTCTCTGCTGTGTGTCTCTCTAGGTGACTCGATGACCTACCACCATGGCCGTCCATTCTCCACTTACGACCACGACAATGACATCGCTGTAACTAACTGCGCCCTGTCCTATAAGGGAGCCTTCTGGTATAAAAACTGCCACCGCGTCAATCTCATGGGACGATATGGAGATAACAGTCACAGCAAGGTACAGTACGGCTACATAAAGCAAGACTCATTGTACAGTTACTGTATGTTTTGAAATTGAGAATGGCAGACGACCACCCACCTAGAGCAAAGGGGTCTGTCCTAGGTTTCTGCCTTTTAACAGGCAGTTTTTCCTTGCTGCCGTCGCCAAGTGCTTGCTCATGGTGGGAACTGTTGGGTAAATAATGTTATAAGGAGTTCGGTCTAGACCTGCTCTATTTGAAAAGTGTTCTGAGATAACTTCTGTTATGAATTGGCGCTATACAAATAAAATTGAATTGAATTGAATTAAATGATGGTCATTAGTCTGAGGGTATTGCAGGATTCCTGAAGTGCAACCCGGTATCATGCGAAAGCGTGTAATACACACGCCAGCCCACTATGAATGTGTCATGTTTGGCCTGGCATAGGCGTGGCAATGTCACATTCTTAACACATGCTTATTCCGTGATAAAGTTAGCAATAATATATCTGCATCATCCAGTTAAACTTTAAAAATAAAGCTTGTTGCCGTTCCTGTTGGTTGCTTTGGCTGACAGAAACATGAATAAAGACCTCCACTTTACTACTTTAACTTACATTTTGATTAACATCATTTGTCTGTCTCCTCTCCAGGGTGTGAACTGGTTCCACTGGAAAGGCCACGAGCACTCGATCGAGTTCGCTGAGATGAAGATCAGGCCATCCAACTTTAGAAACCTGGAGGGACGAAGGAAACGGTCATAAATGATCCACCGCCAACGAAAACAACAACAACCACACTGCTACCACTCTGTCTGGACTCCCCATAAACCACCTCGACTCCTACACCCACACACCCCGCAGCGACCAAAGCCACTGCCAAGAGCACTGCTGCCTCCACGCAAAACCAACACACATTCCCTCCCCACATTCACAAATTCACAGCTCAACCTCAACACCCTCCCCTTCTGTGACACGGTTGTGGAAATGCTGCCAGCGTGCGACGTGCATGTTACAAACTGGACTTAAATCAAGCCCACACAGATTCTTCTCACGCACCAAAGAGAGCAAAAACAACTCGATCTCATGATCTCTGATTCTGATCCTTTTTTTTTTTCAGCGTTTGTGGGGAGGCAAGTGTGCAGCTTGGGCATTATGTTGTGTACAGTAATTAACAGTCCCCTATTTCACATCCAAGCCACATTTGGGGTTTTACAGAAAGGACAGGCTGTTTATAATACAATGTGGTCTTGTTTAGGTTTAGGGCCTCTTTAATAAAACCGATAATACAGTGATAATTCCAACGGATTATCCTAGAAATTCTATTCCTTGTACAGTGCTGTACATGTATACATCTGATTTAAACATTTGAAAAGGGACATTCCTCAGATGCTCAGATGTCAGATATCTCCATCTAATTTTCCATTTGTTTGTCTCTGTGCGACTTAACTTGTCTCAGTGTCACTTTATCCTCCCCGGGTACCCTCATCCCCCGCAACATGAGACAACACACAATGTTATAGAATGTGAACGAAAAGTGAAAAAAAAAAATTGTATGGAAAAGTACTTTTACCCACCATATGCCATGACCACGTGGATGGCAATGTTTCCATTCATTATGTGAGCCTCTGAAGGCATCATGCTACAGCCACAGTGTCGTGTTTTAAAAAGCTAAAGAGCAGAGAAAAGAAAAGCTGATGTGTTTCGATTTGTTTTGTTTCTCTTTTGAATCCGAGGCAGGACCTGTTATTCAGTAATGAAACCCAGTGATTACTTTTTTTAAACTTTTTTTTGCAAAATGTGAATACTATGGAAAAGAATTTTAAAAAAAATGTAAAATGTAAAAAATGTATTTGAGTTGTGACAAAAATTTAATTCTGACTTTAAAGTTTAAGACAGAAGTAAAAATATTTTTTTGCAATTCTGAATTTAAAGTTAAAAGACAAAAGTAAAAAAAAAGATTAATTAAATCTGACTTTATTCCCAGAATTCTGACTTTAAACTCAGAACTCAAATCCATTTTTCACATGCCCTAATCCTCCTCCATAGAATACAGTGCATATACGTGGAACAAAAGAATGTGATGTTGTTGACACAAAAGATGTTGATGCTCGTGACATGAAAAAAAGGCCAATTCCAATTGAACCCCATAAGGAGTCCATAAGGTCCCTGTGCTTCTGTCGATGACAATAGTGTTTGAACAGGCCCCTGCTACGGCAGCATACTAAACCACTGACCTTCTAAAGAATGCCTGTGTAAATTAAGTTTGTTTTTATTGTTTTGTTTGTTTATAACTGGGTGAACAACAGGTGTTTCTCTGTAAACTGTATTACAATAAAACAGTTTGTTTAAAAGGAAGACGTTCAGGTCTTTTATTTGTCAACGTCTGTGATAAAGTAAAGCAGACTCTTAACTCAAGATCCACTTTCCAGCTATTTCCGGAACCTTCTAACGCATCTCATGGTCTTGATGGTTGTTGTTACAGTAAGGTCACATACAGGAGTCCCACTAGGACGCTTCCGCTTAAATTAAATATCAGTGAAATTACATACTGACCACTTTCTTCATGAGGTTCCTTCTGAACCCTCTCCAGTGCAGGGGCATTTTTAGACTTTTTTGACTTGGGGGGGGCACAAGTGAGGCACTCACTTATTAGGGGTGGCATGAAGTATGTGTCTCAGCTTTCCAGTTTACAATTTATGTAATTCCATTACTGTTCATGGATCCCAGTGTGTAGAAATCTTCAAATAGACAGTGAAAATGACACATTTATACCACATGCAAATAACTGCATGGGATTAGCATAAAGTGGGCGGGTCTGTAAAGGTGAGACTTGTGTGTACCCATAGAACCCGTCTCCATTCAGATATCTTGAGGTCAGAGGTCAAGGGATCCCTTTGAAAATGGCCATGCCAGTTTTTCCATCCCCAAAATGTAGCTATAATTTAACTTTAGAGTGTTATTTAGCCCCCAACATGCTAGCATGACATGCCAACTAGTAACAATGGATGCGTTAGGTCATCTAGTTTCACATGATACCAGTGTTGTCACTCTAGCTTTAATACGGAGCCCACTACAGCCTCTGAAACACAGTGTGGAGTGGAAGGATAATGGGTTACCACTTTGAAATGGCCCTGCTCCAGTGGCTTTGACAAATAAATAAAATCAAATTAATAATAACAATAACATTTTCATTAAAATTGATCATTGTTGTACTCCTGAAGTGATTCTTGCAGTGCGAGAAAAAAAAACATATCGAATAAAAAAACATTTCCTAACCTGCCACCTTTCACTCTATATTCTGCCGAACCGGGATTCCAAATCAAAGAAAAATAGAGAATTTAATAGTGCATGGACAGAATAGTTTGCTTTCACCACCAACGATCCTGGTCCAGTATGCAACTTCTACAAGTGTGATGTAGAAATACACTGAGAATGGACTTTACAATGAAGTAGAAAGAAAGAAAGAAAGAAAGCTTAAGATTAACATAGGTCAGGGTAACAGCGGCACTGACAGAGCAGAGGGAGAGCTGGGAAATTGTGCAGTTTAAATAGACCGCCAGATTGGAAGGGTGCGCTTGATTAATGATTATGGAGTGAGGCATGTCATGTTGTATATCAGCGCAGCAAAAATCTGTTTCTTTCTGTAATGGTATCTTTTAAAATGATGTGATAAACAATGGAGCGAAGCCTGCGGCTAGTTCAGGCAGTCAACTTGAGCTGCCCTGCTATACACACATGACATGCCTCACTCCATAATCACTAACCAAGCGCACCCTTCCAATCTGGCGGTCTATTTAAACTGCACAATTTCCCAGCTCTCCCTCTGCTCTGTCAGTGCCGCTGTTGCTCTGCATCCGTATTGCTGCTGCTGCGCTGTAAGCCCCACCATCACCCCAGCATCCACCTGTAGGCTAGGGGTTAAGGTATTTGCTCATCACTCCCCAATATCTCTATGTAAACATATCTGCGGGGAGTGATGAGGTCAGAGCCTAGAGGCCATAATCTAAATATGCTATACAGCTGTAATAAACATTTCAGATGTGAGTTGTCTGACTGAACTTCCTTCAAATGAATTGTTAAGAACAAGATTTAAATTTAATGTAGATAACTCTTACCTGTGCAACACAAATGTAAAAACAGAGCACCTTTTTTATATCTGTGAAACAGTCCAAAGCCTGTGGAGGTCCTTGCATGATCGCTAAATATTAACTATTAACCTGTTAAGAACAACTGCTTTTGCAATACTTAAAACATTGCACATGTACAGTTATCCATACCATATTCCACTTGTATATTGTGTATGTAAAACATTTTTTTTTATCTTTCTCTACTCTTGCTCCACTACATTCCAATATGCTGCTGAATTTCCCCTATAGGGGATCAATAAAGGAACATCTTATCTTATTTTATCTTATCTTAAATCCATAAATACCGATTTATTTTACTACTATTAGAGCAATTTTGAAAGATAAAAAAAACAAACAAAAACAAATTTAAATTCTTATCAATAATATTTATATATAAAAAAATTTTTTTTTTATATATAAATAAAAATATTACATACACAAATGTTGGTTCACCAAATCAATTCCAGTGTAGAAGGAACTAAACTACCTGCAGAGGGACTATGGGTGGAAAATGGCAACTTGCTAAAACCCGGTGCAATGCATCTCTCCTTGTTATATACAGGGTTAATGTTTTATTGTGCACTGTCCCTGTTCAAATAAAGAAAGAAAAAAAAGGGAAAAAATGAGTTCATGATGTTAAATAAAAGTATAAGGAAATCCAAAAATGTTTTGCACTTAGGTCTGAATATGATTTATTCTAGCCCCCAGTTCATTTTGTTTGTTTGTTTGTTGTTGTTATTTGCATTTATTATTTTATTCTTTTATGTCATTGTGTTGACTAAAATTAATATTACAGTAAGAGGTGTAATCCATGATGGAAGTAAAATGTTTTTGATGGTACCAAGTGAGTTTGTCATTGTACCTTAATTGTTGATAAAGGGAAAAAAAAGACCTACAATCTGTGGAGAAAAATGGCAGCACATTTGGAATCATTGGTACACAAACTGTGAGAGGCTCACTGTGGAGGGCGAGGGTGTTCAGAGATCAAAATCCTCTAGCTTCTCTTGATGATGATCTCTATAAAGATATCCATTCTTATCTGAGGGAATTCAGTATCTCTGCAAACCTCTAGGCCAGAATGCATCCGTTATGTTCCCATTCAATCGTTAGAAAGTATAGAAATACATTCATTCACTTCTAATATACATACATTGAATACAAAACACTTTATGAGCAGAGGAACCCAGAGGGTACACTTATATCAGTAGCATTACATTCAGCCTCTGTGCTTTAGGGAGTAGATTTGAATTCAGGGTTTAAAGTTCTTTCAACCATAGAGCAGTTTTAAATCCACATAATACTTAATTCAATACATTATACACGTTTCCTCTGGATAACTCTGGTCCAGGCTCACTTTCTTGCTTTCATTCCTGTTAATTCATTAACGGTTTAGATTCAGAGATATTTTGTCTGTGAATTTAGCACTTTAATCTTGGTTTACCGCTGTGGTATTCAATCATATCACAGTCAGTGAACACTGTAATGTTACTTATGAATTTACTCTGTTGACATTGTGTTGCCAACAAGCGTCCCTGTCCCTGTGTTGGCCACAATACGTTCACTTTATTTAAACTCATATCCTGATATTATCAGAGCACCAGCCATTAGGAAATAACGGGAGTGTACCTATGTTCCCTGGGTCCTATTTTCCCCGGTTCTATGTTCCCCGCTTTGTATGGGACCAGGGAACCCTAACCCTAACCCTAACCTTAGCGGGGAACATAGGACCCGGGGAACAAAGGGATGACCCCGAACTAACTCTTCTTGCTTTGCCAACATGGCCCTTTTATGCAACATAGAACACAGATTAAGTTGACCCCCACTCAGTTAAGTGACATCTTGATAACTGCCGCAGAACCGTTTAACACCAGTGTATCAATCAGAGTTTGTCAACCTGGACTTTCCCTGATAACCCCGGGTTAAATCTGAGTTGGTTCAACTCCCTTAGTGCAGCCCTCAGCTCACCTCCATATGCAGCGAGTCTTTACTGACAACCTGTCTGCTCTACTTGAAGTCCCGCCTTCTGTAATACGTATTGTAAAACCCACCAATCACAACGAGGGTCTGTAACATCTTGAACACGGAGCGCTGTCCCTCTCTGCCGCTGGCTCTGCTTCAGTCGGATATCTCGCACCACTCCGTCTTTGGCTGGATAGAACTTCCTGGTTGTCCCTGCTGGGAGTGGCCGCGGGACGTTAACACCGTGTGACTTTCCGCAGTTTACCGCTCGGTTCGGATTCAGGGCCGGAGTCCAAAGCGGACAGGACACTTTGGGGCAATGAGGATAACTTATTCCTGGAGGTTAGTTAAGTTACTCACCGTTTCAGCTGTGCTCGTCCTGTCCGCTCTCGTCTTAGTGGGTAAACATCCGCCAAAGCCCAGCCCCCTCCCTGTGGAGGACCACAGGCTCATATCTCCTCAGACATACCATTATATCCTCAACCAGCCTGCTGTCTGCCAGGACACAAGCCCCTTCCTGGTTTTTATGGTCCCTGTTGCCCCTGTGGAGTCTGCAGCAAGGGAGGCCATCAGGAAAACATGGGGGGCTCCAGGTCAGAACACCCTCACTCTGTTCTATGTGGGGCTCCCAGAGGGGGGCCAGGTGTCCAGCGTCCAGGACAAGCTGGTGGAGGAGAGCAGGAGACATGCAGATATTGTCCAAATGGACTTTCAGGACAGTTACCAGAACCTGACTCTCAAGACCTTGATGATGATGAACTGGCTAGCGACCCACTGTCCAAACGCCTCCTACGCCATGAAGGTGGATGCTGACATCTTTGTAAATGTGTTCTACCTCCTGAGTCAACTGAGGAGCTCCCCCCGGCAGGGCTTCATCACGGGGTCCGTGATAAGGGACGGCATCCCGAGGAGGGACAGTAACAGCAAATGGCACTTGTCAGAGGAGCAGTACCCCGAGGACACCTTCCCCCCGTATGTGTCCGGAGCAGGGTACGTCTTCTCTGCAGACTTGGCCGCCAGGATCTCCTGGGCGTCCAGTTTTGTCCGGGCAATCCCCCTGGAGGACGTCTACATGGGGCTGTGTCTGCGTGTGCTGGGCATCCGACCGGTGTACTCCTACAGCCTGCTGACCCTCAGGAATCTGTTTGCAATCAGAAACTTGGAGTACAACAGGTGCACTTTTGCCAAACTGATCATCGTCAACCAGTTTAAACCGTCACAGCTGATGGACATTTGGCAAGACTTCTCCAAAGGCCATACCAGCTGTTGAGAGCTAACACTGCTGTCAAATAATCAAATAAGCAGCCTTTTGTAAAGGAAAGAAAGCCATTAGGCACACAGCTCTAGGGGTGGGGGGTTGTAGTTGTGTTTGCAAACATATCTATTAATTATCAGGGAATTTAACAAATGGGTCACTACAGTACACTACATAAAAAAGAATGTAGCCCTTTAGTCAATTAGTCTAATCAGCTAATATTTAATTTTAATTTTAATTGACAAGAATGACAAGACCATTTTCACAGAGGACATTTTGACAGAAAATGTCTGAATTCCATTTAGCTGCTTCAGTTTCAGGGTCCTGGTGTGCTGTTTGGCTGTATAGAACAGAGCTAGTGTTATTAGTGACACGTGTCAAGAAAAAACAAATTTCTGCTACACAAATTAGATTTTTCTTTCTCTAATTATTCTAATCTTTTTTCCTTAAAGAAAATAAAATAAATACTGGTAACTCTTGAATCACAAATTGTAGACATATACAACCTGTTACAGCCTTGTTTTTAAGGAACACAAGCCAAAAATGGCAGGAATCAAGTCCATCCTCAAGACTGTTGGTTGGATAAAACATGCGAGTCGTAGCCAGCCATAGGCTCTGGCTAAGTGTAGGCATTAAAGCTACTTCACCCAATTTCATCGCAAATAAATACGTTTTTTTTTACAAATTGTTTTGAAAAGCTGCTGTAAAATCAGGAATTTTATGCCACAACAATCCTATAGGGACTGATAAGTAATCACAAACAAAGTGCTTTACAGAGACAATATACAGCAATCAAGAAGGGAGGCAAAGTACATAATGAAATACAAACACAATAAAAATACACAATAAATCCATAAAGTGCAGACATGGTGCATACAGGTTACCCAAACACCTGTCTAAGCAGGTAATTCTAAGGGGACATGCTGCTTGTTTTGTGTGACCAACAGTCCAGAACCCAAATGTATTCAGGTTACAATTATACCAGTAACACCAAAGACCACATGGCCTCTTTGTCTATTCTGTTGTGTTATAGTCTGTGCTATAGAAATGAAGTCATTACTTACATGAGACAACACAGAGAAACAGGAAGTAGCATTTTTGATTGAAAGAAGCTGTCAGTTGCAGCCTTTAAAGAATGTATCTGTTCAGGAAGCAATGCGCCTTTAGATATTTATTGCAGGCCTTTCGAAGTGCTTAAACTTCTCTATCCAAAGTGCTGGAACCGCCCTAACTGCTGTAGCTCTGCCCTACAGGTAGCTACATGACATAATGTACTCTCAGAATCTGCAGTTTACACCAAAGACTATTTGAAAATAGATCAGTTTTACTGCCATTGCACTTATTGTTCAGTTAGTGCCTGATGGGTTTGTGGTGCACATGTGCAGGAAGTTACATGGAACCACATTACCCAGCATTTAGTTAAAATATTATGGTCTGTTTGCTGCATTGCACTGCTACTATATGCTACACAGAGCTTTGCATAATGTAGACCTGTAGAATAGCCTGCAGCTTATTGGTTAAGTTAGTGTGCCTCTTTATCTACTTTGTAGTTTTCAGTTGGGCTCCTCCTGGTGCTCCTAATGGTATTTGTAAGAATCTACCGGGCCTGAATGAAAACAACCAATCAGAGCCTTGAAACAGTTGACTGTTGAGTCTCATTCCCAGGACATCAAATACAGACATTTTGGGTCCCTGGGAATGAGACTCAGCATCAGCTATCTTCAAGCTTCCAACCCAAAGTAACTATGTCTTTTTCTCAGCTCTGATTGGTTGTTTTAATCTAGTGCATCTTCGGTAGACTTGTAGTAAATGCAAATCCAAATAAGTATTTTAAATCAAACAGGCCATAATAAGTTTATGTTTGTTGTAGTTGCATATGGCCACCAGCTGGTGGCAGTATGTGCCAGCAGATGACATGTACTGAAGGCTACACTTAATATATTGCTGTTGATTCAGTGCCTAATGCAGATAGACTATGGCCTTTAGAAAGTGATTACAGTATGTCCCAGTATGACCAAATATACAGTGTGTCAGTTCATTGTAATTATAATTGTGTAGAAAGTTTAATTCAGTAATTGTAGAAAATGTTTCATCACTGTTTTACTATTTGCACTTCTGCTGCCTTGGTATGACAGTTTTAGTGAACCTTGCTTGGGTGAAATGTTGTTCCTGTCCACACAAAATAAAAGTCTTGTGCAAATATTAAACTTATTTTGTTACCATTTTTACATTTAAAGCTATATCAGTCACAGACACAATCATCATTTTAAAATTATACAAAATTATATGAATTATAAAAATCAAACTTTGGCAAAAGAAAACAGACACATGAAACAAAAGTAAGAAGTTAAAATGTGGACATGATATATATATTAATGATTCACAGTTCAGAATGACCCATTTTATAGTGTTAAGAGCCTCAAGGTCCAGAAAACTTTTTGAGAAAGTAAGAAAGCTTTGAAATCCTGTTTGCATAATATATTATTATTTTTATGTTCTAGATAGATAGATAGAAAGATAGACAGACAGACAGACAGACAGACAGACAGACTTTTTTTATGGTTCAAAAACAAAACAGAAGCAACTACGGATACAACAATACTAGAAACGGATAAAATACACAAAGATAGTTAAACAAAAGGGAACTAGTAAGAGAGAAAACAAAACCAACAAAAACCCAAGGTGACGTATAGAGCCTGTCATGGTGCATATATGTAAAAAAAAAAAAAAAAACAAGAAAAAAGAATGGAGATAATACATGTAATAATGACAGTGACATGATGCAGTTAAAATGGGTGAGTGAGAAGAATATAATAAGTTGTCTGGGGGAGGATGTGACGTGTGTGTGTGTGTGTGTGTGTGTGTGTGTGTATAGCAGACATTCTCAACACTGTGGGTGTGTACAAACGGGGTTTGATTGACAGCTCTCTCACTCTCTTGTTAGTTTTGTTGCTCATCATTATTTTTCAAGTTTTCAGCATCTACAGAGGGCAGTGTCATTGCCTCTTTGTTTGACTGTATATTCCGTGGTGTTATATTGTCTGTGCACCTTGTTTGAAGGGTGCTATAGAAATGAAGTTGTCATTACTTACATAACACCACAGAGAAGCAGGAAGTGTCACAGCCTCTGTCACACACTGTTTAGAGTTTAGGAAGTGACACGCCTTTATAGATATTTACTGCAGGTAGTCACAGTGCTTCCACTTCTGTAGTCAAAGTGCTGGAACTGTCCTTACTGCTGTAGCTCTGTCCTATGCCATTAGGAGCACTAGGAGGAGTCAGATGTGGCATTTGCAAATAATCCATCCTGCCTGAACAAAAACAACCAATCAGAGCCAAGAAAGATAATTGATTGTCAAGTCTCATTTCCAGGTCGTCAAACACTGACCCTGGAAATGAGACTCAATGATCAACTATCTTCAAGCCGCCAATCAAAAACATCTTTATATCTTTCTTGGCTCTGATTGGTTGTTTTTGTTCAGACCTGGTGGATTCTTGCAATTACCATTAGGAGCACTAGGAGGAGCCAGAGGAACCTTTCTTTTTCACTGATATCTGTCTCATGTACTACTGTCAGGATATAGTGAAAGTTAAAGCAAATATGACAAAAAGTAATTTTTCACAAAAGTTACCTACTGCAGTTTTAAAATATGTCACAATTGTCATTAAAGGACTCGTATGTAGGATATAGTCGCATCTAGCAGTGTAGTTGCTACAAAGTACAACATCCTTGTTCACCCTCCTCTTCAACAGACTGGTTGATGGGGACTAGAGCAGAAGGAAAAAGCATTAGAGGCTGTGTAATGACTGGCTTGCTGGCTGCTGCCTGCAGCAGAGCCAGTGAGTGGGCTCTGAAATAGATGTTTGCTGCTTCATGATTCACTGGTGTGGCCGAGCTTCAGCAGATGGCAGCCTCGCAGCAAACTGCAACACCTACAGAGGTCTGACAACTCCACAACACTCTGTAGAAACCCAACCACGGCCAAGGCCTGTTTCTACTTTCTTCTGGGTTGGCAGTGAACCAAACAGATTACTGTATCTTTATTGCAGGGAGGAGACTGATACCGTATTTTGTGTCAGTGATGGCCCTTTATCCAAAATCAGATCAGATTAGATGTTCTTTTATTTTAAAGCAGCATTGACTGAGTCTTTGGCCACTTGTAAGCAGCAGAATGAGCTGCAAACACAGTACTGATGATATTGAATGTATGGCTATGATAGCAAACAGTTGCCATTTACACATCCAGCAGACACAGAGCATTCATTTGAAGTTGAGTCTTTGTCCACCTGGTGAATTTAAGTTCAGTATTCACTCTCCCTTCAGCTCTGCTTTTGGTCTCCACCAACTGACTATGCTAAATGATAAACTGCCTGCTGCACCTGGAAACAAGGTTTCATTAGTGTATAATCACCTGAATATGGGAATCTGTGTTTTTGTACCTCACAATGAGCTGTTTTTATGTACAGAGGGAATGGGTCCACTTCTACGGAGTCCGCCACGTTTCTACAGTAGCCCAAAATGGACAAACAAAACACAAGCTCTAAATAGTGCCTTTCGCAAGTTTGCAGCCACCTTAGTTTCTCCTACACGCTTGGAAGGCTGATCTGTATCCAGTTAGTTGCAATCTGCAACTTCACGGCCAGATGCCACTGAATCCTACACACTGAAACAATGAGCTAAAAGATTGTTAGTATAAACATATTGATTAGTGTAGCTTTAATGACTTCTGGTGGATAACAAAATACTGTTTTACTGTGCCCATCTCCAGAGAGAGGGGTTTACAGCCATTTGAACATATCTACTTGATCTTAAAGCTGCTGTAAGTGACAGGTAGGTAGGTGAAAATAACTGTTTGTCATATTTGTTAAACATATCCTGACAGACAGATAATCTGTGAAACAATCAGGTTCCTCTGGTTAGCCCTAGTGCTCCTAATGGCATTTGTAAGAATCCACCTGTACTGAACAAAAACAACTAATCAGAGTCGAGAAAGATAGAAAGACATTTTAGGTTGGTCGTTTGAAGATAGTTGATTGTTGATCCCCAGCATTGGTATTTGACAACCAGTTAAATTTCACTAGCCACACCCAGGCCTGATTACTGCCAGACATGCTGAATCAAGAAATCACTTAAATAGAACGTGTCTGACAAAGTGAAGTAGGCTAAAAGATCTCAAAAAGCAACACATCATGCTGTGATGTAAATAAATTCAAGAACAGATGAGAAACAAAATCATTGACATCTATCAGTCTGGAAAGGGTTACAAAGCCATTTCTTAAGTTTTGGGACTCTAGTGAATCACGGTGAGAGCCGTTATCCACAAATGGAGAAAACTTGGAACAATGGTGAACCTTCCAAGGGGTGGCTGGCCTACCAAAATTACTCCAAGAGTGCGCCTCATCCAGGAGGTCACAAAAGAACTCAGGACAACATATAAAGAACTGCAGGCCTCACTTGCCTCAGTTGAGGTCAGTGTTTATGATTCAACAAAGAGACTGGGCAAAAATGGCATCCATAGGAGAGTTCCAAGGTGAAAACCACTGCTGACCAAAAAGAACACAAAGGCTCCCCTCACATTTGCTCACAAAAAAACGTATTGATGATCCCCCAAGACTTTTGGGGAAATATTCTGTGGACTGACGAGACAAAAGTTGAACTTTTTGTTACATCTGGTGTAAAACTAACGCAGCATTTCATAAACATCATACTAACAGTCAAACATGGTAGTGGTAGTGTGATGGTCAGGGGCTGCTTTGCTGCTTCAGGACCTGGACGACTTGCCGAAATTGACGGAACCATGAATTCTGCTCTCTACCAGAAAATCCTGAAGGAGAATGTCCGACCATCAGTTTATGACCTCAAGCTCAAGCGCACTTGGGTTATGCAGCCGGACAATTATCCAAAACACACCAGAAAGTCCACCTCTGAATGGCTTAAAAAAACAAAATGAAGCTTTTGGAGTTGCCTAGTCAAAGTTTCACATATGGCCAGGTGGGTTGGGATAGCTTTTTTTCCCCCTTAATAAATGAAATCATCATTTAAAAACGGCATTTTGTATTTACTCAGGTTATCAGTCTAATATTAAAATTTGTTTGATGATCTGAAACATTTAAGTGTGACAAATATGCAAGAACTCAGGAAGGGGAATTCTTTTTCACAGCACTGTAGATTATGAAATATATCAGGTATCAAGAGGTTGTTCTACTTCTTTAAGTTAGTATGAATTTGTTTTAATTACTTTTAAATTATATAGTTTAATTAGTTCTTCAGCACCCCCAACTCTGACTGATGTACCTCTGTGGATGAAAATTAAAGTCAAAACACAATGATTTTCAGGTGATTATACACTAATAAACCTCCTAAATGTTACACACTGGTCATCATATCACCTCATCTTGTCTCATGCAGCGAGAGATCATAAGATCAGAGAAGCCTGGAGAAGATCTCATTAAAAATGAATGAGAGGTATCTTGAGACAGGAGTTGGATTATTACTTTATGGAAACTTTGGAAGAGAGAGATTAAGTTTTACCAGGGTGATTTACTGTGTGCTGCTTTCTTTCATTGACTGTCATATTACCATATGACCTTCCTTCAGTTGTAGCACTTCCGTAAAGGGACTCACAACAGAATGGTCCAAAGTGACCTGACAAAGCTCATCCAGAGCCACAGAAGATATTATACAGCTGTTTTCACAGGCTGAGCGGTGCACCACATTATGAGTAACTGACCTTCATATGTAAAATCATTGGATTTCCCCTGTAATAATTATAACAGTTGACTATTATGTCCCATAATGGTTTAAATCTTGTTTACTGGCTAAATGGCTAAATACATCCTAGTTTGTGGCATTAAAATGAACAAAAGTGCGTTCATTTTCACATTTTAGCTGACAAAAGTGTGTAATTGCTGAACATTTTTACAGTTACAACATGTGTGAAAATACAAAATAACTGGAACCACTGCCATAAAGAATGATAAATACATCCTTATGCAATGTTTGTATACCATATACAAAATTTGTTAAACTTAAAACTGACAACTCCATCAAGAGTTCTCTGAAGCGTGCCTGCATTTTGTGATTTAGCCCAACAGCCTAAATTAGCCTGTATTGTTGTGTTCCTCTTCCCATTTCACCATGTAAAGCTCTCCTCCATTCTCCATAGTGTCCATTTGTCTGATAATTGTGTGCCTTCTGTTTGAGTCTATTCATTTCCCACACTGACTGAGTGGGAGTTTAATGCTCTGGGCCAGAGCACCACATTGTTCAAAACACTCCCACCTCTGTGCTGTATCTAGATACGTCTGATCAGCACAAAGAGCCTTCAGAGGAGACTGTTCTTCATTTTATATTGTATAGCATTATACACTAATGTTTTCACTATATGAAGACTCCATGCCATCATCATGGGCATCCTACAGTGTGGCCTAGGATCTGAAGGGCCTTTGGTTCAATAGGTTCAAAAATATCTATGAATAAATGAATATATAAAACATCCCACACAGCAAATGGGTCTGGCCAAGTGGCGGTCCACACAGCACATTTACTCTTGGCCCAAATAAGGCAATGAATTACAGTCCACAGGTGGTCCAGACCTGGTAACACATATAGCCCATGACATAGCCTCAGCCAACTGTATGACCTTAGCTGGCCCTATTCTGGCCCTATGTTGGACCAAACAAATAGTCTAATGAGGAAATTTAGCCACTAGGCCCAACCAGGGGCGTTTCAAGACTTCTCTGACTGGGATGGCACAAATGGGGCACTGACTAATGCAACGGTGGCATGTAGTATGTCAGCTTTTCATTAATTCCCAATTTATGCAATTCCAATATGGTTGGACCCCAGTATGCAGACATATTCAAATACACTAGGGGAAAAAAACATTTACACCACATTCCAAAAACTGCATGGGGTTAGCATTAAGTGGGCGTGTCGGCAAAGGGGAGACTTATGGATACCCACAGAACCAACTTTCATTCAGATATTTTGAGGTCAGAGGTCAAGGGAAAATGACCATGGCAGTTTTTCCATTGTCCATTTGTGCAAAGATTAACATCTTTTTTTAACCTAATGACCTACTAATGTTTTTTGTTTTTTTCCATAGCCTACCAACAAAGAACAAACTGTCACTAACCGCCCCATCGTAGAGCGGGTCGGAAGGTTTGCGGTTCGATCCCCGGCTCTCTCGCTGCATGTCGAAGTGTGCTTGAGCAAGACACACCCGATGCGGTGCTTATGCTGTCGACTGTGTGTGAATGATTAGTTTCCGTTCTGGTGAGCAGTTGGCACCTTGCATGGCAGCCACCGCCATCAGTGTATGAATGTGTGTGAATGGGGTGAGTGTGGCATGTAGTGTACAGTGCATTGAGTGGTCCAAAGACTAGAAAGGCGCTATATAAGTACAATCCATTTACCATTTGCTATGTGAAAATATGCCTCTTAAAAACAACACCCGCCATGCCCGCTGCGGTTGCTCAGCTCCGGCCAGCCTCCTCTCCTCGTGGGTGGAGTTACATCCACCGACGTGCTGGTGAGGCTGGTATCTAAGACAACACATAAAACATGCATTTGCATCAGCGAGGCTGTCTGAGTACCGCGGCCACAGCGAGCAGAGCTGCGGGAAACTGAACACACCGCTTGCAAAAGACACAGTGAGAGGAGAAAAGTGTTAAAACAACCGGGACTTCCTGCACAGACAACACACAAGAGCGGAACTATGATGCACGACACCTCACCGAGAATATAACCTCGAACTGCCTTTTCACCGACTCTGGGACTGAATCTATGTGAGTTAGATTGTTCACTGCTCTTTGTTGTCTTATGTGTTTGTTGAAAGTTTTAAACTACAGAACCATAAAGCTTGCTTTATAGAAAGCTGTAGGAGGTTTTTATATGAGAGCAACGTCTGTTGATATTATTCCACAGACAGTCGTTGTATTAACAACATGACAACAAACTGAATGTACACCAAAAACTCTTAGAGTTATTACAGGAACAACCCCAGATACAAAAGATTAAAGAGTAAGTGCAAACTTAATTTTGACTAATAGTTGCACCTTGCAGTGGATCCCGACCTAGGGACTGGGACACCTAAATCTGTAGAGTTACCAGCTGAGAAAGGCAAAAAAGCTTATATTTCAAAATGACAAACCTAGCTCCAGAAGATTGTTTGTATTGATATTACTTTGTGGAAATTGTATTACCTAGTTATAAGTTAGTTTGGTGATGCAGCACTAAAACTCACGTAAAGGCCCTATCCTTTAAAAGGGCTCTGAGTTCAAGTCTAGTGTAGATCATTAAACATCCAATGTTTAACATTTACTAGGATCTATTGTCAGAAATGGTACATCATATTTATAGGTACATTTTCTTTAGTGTATAATCACCTGAATATAACAATCATTGTGTTTTATCTACAGAAGGAGTGGGTTCTCTTCTACAGAGTCCACCATGTTGAAGCCTTGTACCATGCAAGAGTAATGCAGCCACCTTAGTTTCTCCACACTCAGAAAGCTGAGCTATATTCAGTTGGTTGCAATCTGCAACTTCAGCACTAGGTGCCACTAAATCCTACACACTGGTCCTTTAGAGCTGCAGTATTCAACAGTCCCAAGCACCCAAGCAGCCCAAAACAATCAATTAATGGTTCAGTGTTGGGGTGGGTAAAAATATCGATTCATCAATGCATTGCAATATATTTTTTCCCAATTCAATATCGATTCATTAAATCCTCTGAATCGATTCAAGCCCCTGGCCATTGGGGGCGTGGTAAGCAACACCTTTGTGAAGCTGTACACAGCGGTAAAGACAGAGGTTTTGGAGTCATTGAAGTCGGCAATTATTTTGACAATTATCAACAGGTACTCTAATGATTTGTGTAATTCTACTTATTACTGAATCGATATCGAAGCACTTAAATCAATATTGAATTGAATCGATATTGAATCGAATTGTGACCTAAAGAATCAAAATCGAATCGAATCGTGAGGTTCTTAACAATACCCAGACCTAGTTCAGTGTGTAGGATTTAGTGGGATCTAGCGTTAAAGTAGCAGATTGCAACTCACTCACCCTTCCAAGCAGAAGGGAGAAACTACAATGGCTGTTCTGGGCTACTGTAGAAACATGGCGGTTAAACATGGCAGACTCCACAGAAGACGACCCACAACATCTGTAGATAAAAACATACACACAACAATACACAACAATTCTTCTTTTCAGGTGATGAAAACATACCTGTGGATATTAAATTTGATTTCTGCTAATAGATCTTCCTAAATGTGACAAATAGTAAACATGGGGCAATGTAATATAGTAGCTCAATAGGGGACCACAGTCCAGTGTTTTGTCTAAAATATTATTACTGTCATTAATCTGTTACTTAGTTTAAAAATGTTTTGTCTGATTGTCTGAAATTCATTTCCACCAGTCAGGTCAGTGTTGCTTTGAGAGCCAACATGTGCTGTTTTTGTGAAAAGTCCTGTGTCTGCTTCTGCTCATTTGCTGTTGCATGTATGTGGTTTCTTCTCAGTTTCTGCACAGAGCCATCTGGGTGTGTTCCATCATCCAAAAGATGCATATGAATAGCTTATTAAATCAATGGAGTAAGTATTGACAGATTCATCTACTTTTTTCAACTCATTATGTTAAAGCATTACAAAATTATAAAACATTTTGTCATATTTGCTGAAACTTTCACTATATCCATATGTATCCAGAGGAACTAGATTTTTTCACCGATTGTCAGTCTCATGGACTACTTCAGCAAATTTGACAAAAAGTTATTTTATAAAAGTTACCTACTGCAGATTTAACATTGCATTTCTGACAGTAAATGCATACATTTAATGGATTGTGTATTTACCAAGAGGAAGTGATTTTTACTCACTCAAAAGCAAGTAGGTGAAAAAGCAATGTGTGACACTGAACTGAGAAACCACGACTTTGTCACCTGTGCAGTTCTGTGTTGCTTTATGTGAGTGTCTCACAACCATTGCAGCAGTGACGTTATGTGTTATAATTATTATTGTGTCTCCTGTATATGATTGTGTCTTAGATGAACTGTGGTTTTAAGCAGGTGAATCTGCTGTATAGCAATTGTGTTTAGCTCTGCATTGTTCTGAAATAGAAAGACATTTGCTCAGCGTCCTGCCTTTCTAGACGTGTTCAAAGACATTGTGTCAGAGAAGTGTCCTGTTACTTGCCCTCAATGTTTAACACATCCAGTACAGGCTATAGGGTTTCTTTCTTCTTTTTTACATCTTACAAATGTAATCTTCTTCAGGAAGTATGTTTCATTACAGTAAAATAATATTTTTCAAGTAGTGGAAAAATATGGAACCCTAGTAAAGTCAATATTAAATTAATAAAATAGACATTATGAAATAATCATATGAATACATTGTATACATATATATAAATTAACAATTTAATTTTTATTAGGTAAAAGTTTTACATTTTTAGATCAAAATGCTCAGTTTCAAAAGTGTTTCAAAGAGTTTTTATATCATATTGGCACTTTTTATGATAGTGGTGTTATCTCTCCCTTTTCACCTTTCAGCATATCACCTAACCCCTGCCTCTCTTAACTTAGCGAGCTTAACTGCTGCTATCAAATTTAGCCAGTTAGCTCCATTAATGTGTAAAGAAAACTGGATATAGTTCAGTTCAGTTCAGATCAGTCATTTTATTATCTCAGATGGGAAACTTGATTTACAGCCAGGGGCGCAAATATAAAAAAAGAGTAAAATAAAAAAAAGTGCCAAAACATAAAAATTATTCCTGTACATACAATTTACAGTAAACCATAATACGACAACAATGCAAAAAGAATCATGTGCTAGATGCTAAAATTGGATGCTAAAATTACACGTGCAAACAAGATGCAAAAATGTAAAATTACATGTGCAAAATAAGCAGGGTTATTGCACAAGGTACAAAGGAGTTTTTACTGCTATTGCACTTCAACGTTGGTACTCTGAGGGAAGACTGTCAAACTCAAGGTATGGATGAATGCACCAGAAACTTCTGCCAGCTGAGCCGGCTCCAGTTTAACCCTCAGCTAATTTGAATGGGGATTCAATTATTTAATTCTGTAGCTCTTCCAGACTTTCCAGACGTTATCGGATAAAATTCTGATTTGTGGTAGTTTTCAATTTAAATTTCAATTAAAATTTTATTTGTATAGCACCAATATAATAACAAAAGTTATTTCAGGACACTTTTCAAACAGAGCCGGTCTAGACTGTACTCCTTATAAAATTATTTACATAGACCCAACCATGAGCAAGCACTTGGTGACGGTGGCAAGGAAAAACTTACTTTTGAGAGGCAGAAACCTCGGACAGACCCTGGCTCTAGGTAGGAGGTTGTCTGCCTCGACTGTAATGACGCTCAAATAAATGTGTACACCTTACAGCTGCTTCTTTCTTTTTGTTTCTTGATTTTTATCTCAGTTGGTGGCTGTTTGCACTGTAATGAGCACTGGTTGAAGGTCATACTTTACTTTATTTACCTACACACTGCTGGTACATTCTTGGGAAGCTTGGCTACTTGGCTACAGGGTCCATGTTTGCACTGGCTGCGTAGGTTGCAGCAGGCCTTTGAAAACAGTTCTCTCCAAGCCATCTGTGTCGTCTACTTCCATCCCTCAGCTTGAGGACAGGCACTTGGATTTATATGCAGACTTGTTGTGGGATTCTGTGCAGTGGGTGGATGAAGGGAGGGAAAACAGAGGGAAACTCAGAGAAATCTGTCATTTTATTCAGGTCATGCTACGTTTCACCGATCGCCTGTCTATGGCGTCATATCCCCTTTGTTCATGCGTCAGCATTATTGTTGTCTCAGCACAAAGGAAGCGCCATTTGGAACCAGACTGAGACCACTTCATCAAAAAGGTCTTGGAGGTTGTTTTGGTCCAAACCCGATTGCTGTGGTAAGATCTGTCCAAATGAATTGTACCAACTTGGGAAACAAACCAGAGACAGATTCAACAAGTTTGAAAACATTCTCAAAATGATGTCCATTCAGTGGGTAACTTTTTCTCTTCCCACACAATTGTTGAGATTCGGGAAAGGTCACGATCAAGGAAAGCAGTGCAGGTCTCCTGAAGCCTTCTAAAGAAACTTAATTATATGGAAAGTACCAGAAATTAGCCCCTTGAATCAGCTATTGTTGCTAACAGCATAGGGATCTACTTCCAGGGCAACATGCCAACCAACCAAACTACTGCCTAATAAACATTTTGGCAGGTAGTTTTGTTAGATGAAAGCCTCAAAGACAAATGTTTGAAATCATTTATGTAAAATTGACATTTTATTTTGAGAGCTTTTGGAGGCTCATGCTGCTGATGCTGTATAATGGAGGTGGTGAGTAAAAATGTAGATTGTCAGAGTGGACACAATTATGAGAATAATACCCAGGTCATAAAATATCCAAATTTTTCTCTGATTATGGAGCTTTAGTCAGGACCTGGATGGCCTAGCTTAACATAAAGGCTGCAGGGTTTGGGAAACAGCTAGCCTGGCTCCAAAAATAGACCTACCAGCACCTCTAAATTTACATGCTAAAGTTACATGCTGAAACTATTTCTAGGCAAATATCTGGGTAATTCTGAGAAAGCTTCCAGTAGATGATATCTTAGCATGGATATTTTGAATCTTTACATCAGGGAACCCCCCCCAATAATTTAAATCTTGTCAGGGTGTAATTTAGGCCATAGTGGAAACTTAAACTCTAGTGGAACCCAGTATGATATTATCAGGCTTCAGCTACAACCACCACTACATCCACTACTGTACGACCTGCCATTGCATGTTGAGCTTGCCATGCTTCAAATGCTGCATTGAGGAATGTTTGTTGTCTTTTTGGCATGTCCACATTTGCTGTAGCATGACTGTGACAAACACTGAGGATTGACTCAAACACTGGATGAGTTCAGTGTTGTGGTTGTGGGAGGCAGCACAGAGGAACAGAGATACATTGTGCTGTTTCCACATTTTATGAGAGCTCCAGCCCTCTCATGAATCTCTATAAGGGCCGTGTTGTTCTCAAACAGGATTTTTCATCACAGTAAAAATATAGAACGAAGCATTTCACTCTCATCTCAATATTTCCACAAGCGGTCAGGGTGTCACTGTGTTGTTAATATAAAATCTGCACTGTTTGTTTGGATGCCATGCATAGCCACAGAGGGTGATGCTGGTTGATATGGTGAGACTCAAATTCCCAGTTGGCCTGAATACATTTCGAAAAAGTAAAATAATTGAAGTTGTTTACAACCATGAATAGTACACAGTTTTAATGATGCTGTACTACCACATTACATTTAATTTCGACCCTTGATTTTTCCTTTAGTGTCAGCATGTTGACATTTTTTTTAGTGAAATGTCTAAACAACTACTGGATTAATTGTCATGAAATTTGGCAATTTGAGTGAGTACACTATTATCTGTATCTGCTCCAACTAAACGATCTGTATCCTTATCTGCACCCTGAATAAGCAGGACTTAAACCGGATGTGGGTGGTGCTTAAATAAGATAATTGTTTACAGAACATGTGTATTTTTTTTCCATAAAAGATGCTATATTTACGAGTATGGATATTGACACATTTTACTTGTTTGATACTAGTACTCATAAAAACTACATTATCTGTATCAGATACTCATTTCAGTCGAGCACTAGAAAATGATGCTAAAAAAGAATGCTAATATGCAAAACTAAGATGGTGAATAATGTTTTAAAGAGTTCGGTCTAGTTGTCTACTCTATTTGAAAAGTGTCCTGAGATAACTTCTGTTATGAATTGGCGCTATACAAATAAAATTGAATTGAATTGAATTGAATTGAATTGCATATGTTAAACATTACACCTGCTAAACCCCAAGAAATTAGCATTGTGATTGTGAGTATGTTGCTGACGTTAACTCAATGCACCGCCATGCCTAAGCACATCTTCATAGAGCCACTAGCACCCTGAAGTTGGATTTCCAACTGAGAAAGTTGAAAGATCCTCACCAACTCCAATGACTAATGGGTAATCTTGCTCGAGCTTAGTTTTTTGACTTCTTGTACTGGAACTCAGGTGTGATGTCATTTGACTTAGGACTTCCAAGGTAAATGGAACAAACCAAGAGCTGCTTAAAGAAAAATATTTACGACTGTTGCTACACAAGTGGAATGGGCACAACCAGCATGTCCAAGGCCACTGAGGGGCTTGAGCCCATACAGTTTTGTCACCTCACCCTGGATTCCAAATAGTAAAAATAAATCCAACTATGTGCACACAAAGGACTTTTTTTTTTACAATGCAATGAAGAACAAAAAGGCAAAATACATAACCCTCCAACCCTCTAACCTCCTCTCCATCATCTGATATTTTTTGTACCGTCCCACATCACTGTTCACAGCTCACCCTTAAGTCAGCGTGTCCACAGTTGTGACGTCTTCATCCTCTGAGTTTGGTGCTCTGGATGCAAAAGTAACCACATTGCCACTTAAGCATGGTATTAGGAGGTGTACCGCAGGGCAGAGTACATTACAGCCATAACCGCCATAACAGCTTTCTATTGCATCTGAGAGTGTTTCCATCCACATGATGGTGT